AAAAGGTATAAAGTGTAATTGAAACCACTAATTTATTCCACTAATTGCGAGGTTCTGAATGAAGCTTTTTAACTTTTGCCACTAATTATACCTCAAAATTTGCGAGGAATGTCATTTTAGTCTTTGATTATCAGCCGTCAAGAGAAATATTGTGGTTAGAAATGAAAAGTTTACTCTTTTATAAGTTGATTATTAGGATTTCTCTATAGATACGACTAACTACCGCAAGCTGTTGCTAGGATATTCTATTAATTTTAATTGTATTTTTTTTATTTTAAATATAAATTATAATTGAAACCACTAGTCAAAAACGCTGAGTTTTTTAGGACTCTTAAGCTCTTCTTTTAATCTTGTACACTTCGCACTAAAAGAGGTTCTAAAAAGAACAATGTTCGACTGCAAGGTCTGCTAGTAAACATTTTCAAGCTTAAAGTATCACAACACTATTTATTTACACCAAAAACTCATAATACAAAACGAATGATAATGCCAGGCACTAAATAAATGCGGCAACTTGACATTTTTTACAGCAGAGCTACCACCTGATTCCCCAGCGCGAAATTTAAATTTCACTTAGTCAGCACGGCGCGGCGCCGAATATGTCCATGGTTGGCAACAATGAATTTAAAAATCGCGCCCTCGATTACATAACTAAAAGTTTAATTGATATGAAATATAGATAAGAATTATCGATGTTTGTTAATATCGATAATTTGATATATAGATATTTTTACACCTCCTTACTCTAAAGGAAACGGAATATTAAAATGTACTTAAAAGGATGGCCTGTTGCCGTCAATTTTAGAAATATTTAAATAATATATTAGAGCGGAAAAGATAAAACGAACAAGTTTGCTTTAGGTATTTCTTGACTCGATATCGGGACTCGCCAACTTAAATACATTCTTTTGTAATAAATTAAGTAAATGTTTTTTGTCAAAGCGACTTTATGGAAGAAATATTAATATATAATTAATAAATTTTCTTAATTTCAATATATAACAATATTAATAAAATAGCATTCATAGTCAAATCTGTTATGACAGAAAAATCTAAAAGTCTATTACCGTGTTATCTATTATTCCATAGCTACAGAAATGACGGATATAAACAATATTATCATATTATATTAAAAGCAGTGGAATTATTCCACTTTTTCTCAAATCTTATTAGTCAAAATTTTGTTATTTTACTAAAGTTTTCAGTAGCTGATAAGCTGACTATTTATTAATAAATTTTGTGTATTTACCATTTAATAATAATTATGCAGTATTATTCAAATGATAAATATATTGCTTAAACTTTTGCATATTTATATTTGAAATCATTTTGAATTCATTATACGTTATGTTAGACAAGTATTAAAATAATGAGTCTAACCTCTTTACATCATTATTATGGTAATACCGTTGAACGATCCTCTGAACGTTTTGTGTGGGTTGTAATCCTAATTCAGTGGGCAGAAGACAAGTGTCGTTAACATTACTGACCTTATATTAAATCTAAAACAGGCTAAGAAGCTGAGTTATTACGCAAAAGGTGAAAAATTCGCAAACACATCATTTATAATTATTCCTTTGGGCAAAAAATTTTAGTTATTAATTTGTTTTTTAAACTTTCATGGGTCAATCAATAACAGGCTCAATCTTGATTATTTTAATAAAAGAAAAATATCAGCTATTTTTACATAAAAAAATAATTAATTAGAATTATAATTTTCTATTGCATATTATAACTACTGAATTTTAATTCGTAAAATTTGTGGCGTTAATAACCATCAGATTATCTTCAAATTATAAGGATATGAAAAAAATACTAGAGCTGAGCAAATTGGGTGCAGGGTGCAGCCAAGCATGATATGGCCACTGAGAATACCTGAATTGTTACGTTTTATGAGTGGTTGTCATATTATTATTTGTTAATTATGATTGGCAAAAAAATGCTTTTTCCAAATATGTTAATGAGCCACTCTCATTCCATTTGAAAAAATTGAGATAGTTAATTAAAAATACGATTTACGCATCTTTTCACCGACCAATAAGAAGTTCGTATAAAGGTATGTCCGAAAATGCTTAGTTTCGGAGATACAGGGTGTAGAAATTTCATTTTTATTTCGATTTTTTCCAAGTATTTTTTGAAGTATCGTCAATATTTGAATGAAAATTGGTGTCTACGAGTTTTTTGACACGAGAAATTTGATTTTTGATGTCAATATGACTCCTACTTATAGAGAGCGCCACCTATATATTTTCTAACTGGTTTGAAGAGTAATAACTTCTTGTCCGTACCTGTATAAAAGTACTGAGTAAAAAAATATACATTTACAACCTATTTTACGTAAAAAAAGTCTCTTGGTAAAAATCGCCATGAGAAATCGTTCTCGAGATATTTTGAATCGAAATTATCAATACCTGTCATCATTGACATAAATTAAACATGTTGACTAAATAGTTATTAGACTGAAATCATAAATTTGAAATGTTTTTGTGCCAAAAGTTCAACAGAAACTGTTTTATCATCATTTTTTCGTAGTGAAATTTATGATTAATTTAAAAAAACAAAAAGTTCACAAATTTATTATTTCAGTCAAATAATTATGTACCCATCACGTTTATTTTACGAAGAAAATCACGGAAATGTATATTTTTTCACTCAGTAGTTTTATACAGGTACGGACGAAAAGTTATTTCTCTTCAAAACAGTTAAAACACATGTAGGTAGCGTCCCCTATTATAGGAGTCCCCTAATAGGAGTCATATTGATATCAGAATCAAATTTCTCATGTCAAAAACACCTAGTCACCAATTTTCATCCAAATATTGACGTTACTTCAAAAATGATTTAGAATAAATCGAAATAAAAATGAAACTTCTACACCCTGTATCCCCGAAACTAAACATTTTAGGACATACATTTATACGAACTTTTTTACTTATTTTTATCTGTACAACATGATGTCGAAGTTTCCGTTCATATTAATAACTGGATACCTACTGTAGTGGAATATTTGTTTTGTTTTTACCCCAATTTCCAATTTTACCTTATCATCAAAGGTAAAATTGAAGGAAAGCGAGGTCCAGGCAGAAGATAGCTGATGACGTGAATGAGAAACATAAGGGATTGGACTATTGGACAGGAATGAATGTCAAAACACTCATCAGAGCAGCAAAAAGACGAGAAGAATTCGCTGTGGTTATCGCCAATCTTCGTTGAGAAGAGGCACCTCAAGAAAAAAAAGTATCCCAAGAAGTAAATCAACAAATATAATAATAATGCAAATTACTGCAAACCCATGATTATTCATGTATTAGGTCGTCTCTATGTATACTTATTTTTCTGAGATACCGATATATTAAAATTAATTAAAATATTTAGAAAGTCAAGTGCTGAAATAATACAAGTTGAAAATAATAGTTTCCAATAATTACCCAGATTATCCTAATTTATTTAAGCTCGCCTATTTCACACACATACATAAAATAAAATAAGCGGGCATTATGTGGAGGTTTTCCGTTTGCCGACAAAGCCTATTACGACAAATTGACTGATAAAAACGCGATAAGGGAATTGATGCGATATTCAATAATATACCTTTCAAATTGCCGCAGAGAAAAGTTCTATAAACAGGGCAATAAAACTTTTCGTGGATGTTTGCTTATCGTAAATGTATCACTTTTTTATAGTGTGGCGGATTTGACGGTGATGGCGCGGCATATCTAATGTGAATTTCCTCACTTAATACGTCTCTTTTCTGTTACAAAATTTGTTCCAAAGACAGTCAAGGCGGATCTAGGACAATGTAGCTTGCAGACACACTAGGTTCGTCTACGGTAAACAGAGGAAGGTAAATCTAAGAGCTCGTCGTAATAAAGCCATAGAAATGTCACTCGGATAGTCAGTGTGTTTGTCTTTATGACATCAAGACAATATTTGCGTTTTCATATCCAAATATTAGGCAAAACGCCATGTTTCAAGATTTACTCCTATTATATTTTCCTGCTTATAGAAAGTAAAGTAAAATTTTAAGTTTATTGCGTATAAACTTCCTTTTGGCTAAAATGAAGCCTTTTCAATGGAAAATCTGTGTTTCTTTAGTTTTAGTTCTTTCCCCATGAATTATATAGCACTAGTTATTCGAAATAACACTCGAGAGACCTACATTTTCAGAGAATTGAAAAGTTCTTCAAAAAAGTCTTCTAGGTATTTCGCCACTAGAAGAAAATCAATTTGTCAGCGGTATTTTCCTTAAACAAATTTGCCTAAGGGACAACAAATGTTTAAAGTTTCAGGAGGTACATCTCCTCTCGTCTTTAGATCTATTATGTGTTCCTCTTTCTTGAGTTATAACTCATCAAACAGTCTCAGAACTTTGACAAAAGTCAGTATCTGGGACGGCTCCACAGAGGCTAGCTCTTAAGTTTATGACACGAACGTTTGTCGTCTCGGCGCACTCAGTGATGAGGTGTTCTGGTGTTTCCCCATTTTCCCCACAGAATCTGCATTCGCCGTTGTTTCTCAGCTTCAATCTACTGAGGTGTTCTTTGAGAAGACATCAGTATCCTATAAGAAACCCCGTGGCAATTTGAAGCTTGTTCTTACTCAAATTAAGAAAAATGTTTGATTCTTCTGGATCGTAAGTTCTGAGAAATTTCTTCGAGTGGCTTAGACCGTTGGAGGATTCCCATTCCAGGGTACGGATGGAATCTTCCAGGTTCTTGAGTTCCGCTTTAAGTTGGTTTCCACTTCAACGGTTCCGGTCCAGTTCGTGAATTGGTCGTAGAAGTGTCGGAAGCAAATACCTTTACCCTCCATAGTATAGAGAACTTTGACGCCATGACTACCATCAATCTTGAAATAAAAGTCCTAACAGTATTATGATGCCGCTATATTATATACACTTCTAAAATTGATCGCTATTGAATCGATAAATTTATAAAATATTCAAATTTTATAGATAATACTATAGACAATGTATTAATATATTTTTTTCTTCTTTGCAGCTTCAAATGTACGAGCACCTACTGACCAATAAGTGTTCGAAGTACATCCGTCTGTTCATCTGTTCTATTTTTGTTCCGATGTGTTCCGAACATGTTCCTGGACCGATTCAGGCCTGCAAAGGGTTGTGTAATAAGGTCAAAGACGACTGTGAGGAGACACTAATTCATTTGGGAATCCTATGGCCAGCAGAGTTAAACTGCACTAAGTGAGTATCTACCATTTTTATATGATATTATTGTTAGATAGGTTAATTATATTTTAACTGGCAATAATGGGCTCTTTCACAAAAAGTAAAATACCCAATTCAAGGACAAAATCTGAAATAGAAGACTATTTTCAGTATATTTATCCAAAAAAAAATACTTCCATGACATTGAATAATTTTTTTATAGGCCCTCAAAATTGCTTTAATTTGAAATAATTTTAAAGGGCCAATTGATGACGTATGAAAAATACGCCCAATCGCATTGCAGAACCGTGCTCGTGCGCCAGCCAACAACTGGCAACATTGCGATTTGATTTGACCAGTACCACCTCAACTCAAGACAATCAACATGATATGGGCAAGGCAAATATGGCGGCGAAGGCAGCGCATTATTTTAAATTGTTTACCTTTAAACTGAATAGCCGGTAGTGGTTTCTCGTTCCGATTGCATGCCAGAAATAATTAATTATCTCTAGTTTGTTGTGCTTCTGGAACACGTTTGTTTAGTTCTTAGTGTTCAGTGCATGGTGTGATCAGAAAATTGTGATAAAATAACAGTGAAATAAAAATCCAAACCAGACATTCCACATAGAGAACTTCAAACTTTTGTGCTTGTCGTACTCCTCTATTATTAATTATTTTAAGGTAAGAACTAGAAGTATTTATCAAGATATTACACCTAAATGAGTAAAAAACCTTCACCGCCAGTCTGCATAGTACTTTATAATGGTTACTTACAATAATCAAAAAATAGGTATTAAAGGGTAGGTATTAACATTTTATTGTAGCATACCTTTTACATGCTCTGTTCCAAATTGTCACGAGAATTATAGAGGGGGTCCCAAGGTTTCTGCTTTTATATTTCCCAAAAATGACGAGCTTCGTAAAAAATGGTTGACAGCTATTAAAAGAGATAATTTCACTCCTACTAGTAGTTTTCGGATAAGAAGTGCATTAAATATGCCTCAAAAAGGCCAAAGGCCAAAGCCTCTGTTACCCTAGTGAGGATGTAGTTATGGCTACTGCTTACACTTACCTCACAAGATTTTGACAACATTCACATTTGAAAATATAAATGGCCTGGATGTAAGTTTGTTTTTAGGTCACAGTTGTCCCTCACTTACGTCAGAATTTATTATTAAATACATCTTGTTCAGAATATCCAATATTTTATTGAAGAACTATGCAAAAAAAGGAATGATGTTATAAAAAGGTATTTAGTTTTTTTTTCTATATAAAATCTTGAAACACATATTATATTTTTTAGTTATCCTGACCTATTATAGTTTAAATTTATTCCCATTTGTGTATTGCTGCAAAACATAGGAAAAATATTTCATATTTTTTGACCCAAGTCAGTGTAGTTTACACCAAGAGCATTTACCAAGGCTTTTACTAAGACAAGTAACTTCCTATACTGTCCATAATAGTATATATTTATCAATCGTGCAGTAAATTCTAAACTATGGTAGTTAAGTGTTCGCAATTGAATATTTAGTTTATATTGCTATTTTCTGTCATATATTTCTGGTTATTTCTTTTTCCGACGATTTTGAACACCCCCTATATATGCTATACTCTGTTTTTTTCTCAGGTAAGATTTCGACAGACGATGACAGAAGAAAAGCAGATGACGTCCCATACCAATCAATTTATTTTACTAAAAAAAGTTACTAATAATTTTTACGTTAACTATGGATGGATTTAAATATAAATCCGTCATGCGTCGTCTCTTGTTGTTTTTAACCAGTTTTATTGGTTTATTTCAAAAATGACAGATCGTATTTCAATTTCATTGGTTTGCCGGAACGATGAACGACAAACGGACGCCGATGCGTATGAACTCGCCTTTAGATTTTTGACTCTTGTCAAAGTCTTGCCAAATTAGAGGTTATAATTTTGTGTCAACTTTTGTCAGTTTTATGAAATACCCTGCGTTTTGGAAGATGATGCATTTTGATTCGTGTTATTACGTGTGTTTTGTATCTTTTGAAGCCAAGTGGAGGAAAAATCGAGTGAAAACTAACTGTAGACCCAGAGCACAGTTTATGGTTAATACTCGCTGCTCAGGCAAAAAGTCTTTTACACCAATAAAGTTACCATCTTTAAAGTTCGTATACCATCTCGTCGTAGATAAGTGCATATCGAATATGGTAGAAGGACCATACTAAACACATACTAAAAACTGAAGTAGCTGTAAAATATCGACATCACACAATAGGTAAATAATGGATTTTAGTACTGCACAAGAAAAATAATGCCAAAGGTACTGGTTTAAAAAAATTAAGATTAAAGTTAATTAATCAACCTTTAAGTGTGCTTTAAGGTACCTATAAAATTTGGTAAGTGTTATTAATAATAAAATAGTTTGTTTTATTTGTGTTGTTTTATTTATTCCTGCGGAATATTACAAATTTGTATTTGTACATAAGTTATGTGGATAAATATAATCATAAATACGGGAACTTTCATAAAGCTTGAACGAAAATAAGTAAGAAATAGTTCTTTTTTGTATTTTTTTGGTATGTGGTGTCTTGTTCTTGTTTGTTTTGTATTAACACATACCGTTTTTTATTAAATTAAATAACTCGATTACATTTTTTCAGTTTTATACAGTTTTTTTCGCAATATTTTGAAGTAATCACTTGTCAGTCAAATTTTAAATATAATAATTTCCTGCTATGCGTTCCAGTTGTACCAACTTATTTCTTTGTAAAATAAAATAAACTACTTTGAAATTAAAATGACAGACACATCTATCACTGTCAAGGATCTTCTCGTTGGACAGACTATACCTCAAGTTTGAATATTTACACACTAGTACACTACCTACCTATTTTCTGAGAAAACAGACCTTTTTATAAAAAGTAACTAACTGATGTTTTCATAAAAGTAATAATACAAAAAATTCCATACTTATGTGGAGAGCTTTAGACTCCCTGTATATTAAAAAATTAGTGAAATATTACGTAATCTAACCCAACATTTGTGTGAAAAATGTCTATTTGGAAATAAAGGAGGTTTTAAAATACGCGCCATATAAAGCACTTCTATCTCCGCCATATTGGAAAAGCTTGAATGGCCTTGTGTGGAGGTGGTGGTGGGTCAGCATGGTAGTGCGGCCGTGTTGCCGCTTTTCAACATGCCAGGTGTGACGTATTAAAATTAAAGTGCGGATTTTTATTCTGGCCTTTTTTGTTTTTATTTATTTTCTTAAGAACGACTTTAAATTTTTCGAAAGTGAGATAGCGGAAAATTCTAGAATTAATTGCTTTATTCAATTATGCTAATTCCAAAATATAGTGAAAGAGCCCATTCTAAAAAGAAAAAATATATAAAGATAATATATATGTTTAGAAAATATTTATTTGATCTTTGAGTGTCTCAAAAATGTAAATTTTCAGTTTTGACTGGTGACTTTAAACGATGTTTTAAAAACTACCCTTAAGAGCACCCCTTAAAGCGTACAATATAAGCTTTAAGGGGGGCAAATAAGGGCTAGTAAGTACAATACAGTCTGGACACCCCATACATTTGTATAGCGAAACTTTATTAACGTTAACTCTGACACAGCTTATTCAATGCTTCAATACCCAGCAAGTATCGATCAAAATGTGTATCAAAGTATAAATCTTTTACCAGCAATTTACTTTTTTAATATATCTGTTACTCTAACTAGGTTAAAGTCATTTGGATATAAATTCCTTTTCTATGTTTATAGTTTTCCTGAACCACCTGCTCTCTGTATGCAACAACCTCCCGAGGAAAACGAGCAATCCCCTACGCATTTTTTCAATCCCGATGAGATTCCTTTTACGCTCAATTGTCCAGCCAACAGTATTGCAAATGATGGAAAATGTGTTCCTCTTTGCACCAGCAGACAGTATTTGGATCCAGAAGAAGGAGCCATCTTTGAGGTAATTTGATTTCGTGTGAAGTACATTTTTTATTTTAAACTTCAAATGAAAGTTTATGGTATCAAATAATTTCTAAGGTAACTTGAAGCTATTTTCTTTTCAATCATATGGAACTTTTCTCATTCTTCTTTTTGTAATTTACTAATTAAAATAATGTATGATTTAATTTATAATTTTAATATACAGGGTGGTCCGAACTGTATTCCGGAAACTTCGGCAGCATATTCTGCAGATAAAAATAAGTAAAAATGTTCGTTAGATGTATGTCCAAAAATGCTTAGTTTCGGAGATACAGGATGTAGAAGTTTCATTTTTATTTTGATTTTTTCCAAATAATTTCTGCAGTAACGTCAATATTTGGATTAAAATTGGTGTCTGGCAGTTTTTTGACATAAGAAATTTGGATTTTGATGTCAATATGACTCCTACTAGTAGAGGGCGCCACCTACATATTTTTTAACTGGTTTGAAGAGTAATAACTTTTCGTTTGTACCTGTAGAAAACTACTAAGTAAAAAAATATACATTTACGACGCTTTTTACGTGAAAAAGGTCTCTTGGTAAAAATCGCTACGAGTAATGGTTTTCGAGATACTTGGAATCGAAATTATCAATACCTGTCATCAATGACAAATTAAACATGTTAACTAAATAGTTATTAGACTGAGATCCTAAATTTTAAATGTTTTTGTACCAAAAGTTCAACAAAAACTGTTTTATCATCATTTTTTTTGCAGAAAAAATATGATTAATTAAAAAAAAATATAAATTTCCCAAACCAAACTATCTACTCAACGTGTTTATTTTTCGTCAAAAATGGCATGTATTGACTATTTCCATTCTAAATATCTTGAGAACGGTTGCTCGTAGCGATTTTTACAAAGAGCTATTTTTTACGTAAAAAATCACAGAGATGTATATTTTTTCCCTCGGTAGTTTTATTCGGGTACGGAGAAAAAGTTATTACGCTTCATAACAGTTAAAACACATGTAGGTGGCGTCCTCTACCAGTAGGAGTCATATCGACATCAAAATCCAAATTTCTCATGTCAAAAAACTCCCAGACAATTTTCATCTAAATATTTACGTTACTTCAGAAATTATTTGGAAAAAATCGAAATAAAAATGAAATTTGTACACCCTGTATCTCCGAAACTAAGCCAGGACATACATTTATATGAACTGTTTAGAAGAAATTCCATATTAGGATTAATTTTGAGATTCTAACTTTTTTTCTAAATGTACGGGGCAACGATTAGCGCTAAACTACTTATTTGCTTAGCGTACGTACATAGATGTTAAAGTTAAAGCTATATTATTTTTCTCTGGTATCTCTAAAGGAATATATACCGCGCATGATCGAAAAAAAACCGGCGTCAGCGATGGCTATGAAATGAAGATCGCTCTCATTTTATATGTAAATTTATATGGGAAATGTCATCGATCGTCATTTCCCAGCCAACTTTTATTCCGTTTTTTTCTCGATCATACGGTATTGTCTTCTATTTGATATTCCTCACGTAAAAATGTTAAAAATAACATTTGTTTTTTATATCAACAGGGGGTTAAAGACTTTATTTTTATTTATTTATTATAATTTAAATAATTGTTTTTATTGATACGAATGCGCGAAAAATTTTAATGCTAAAAAGTGTTGACAGATTCATCAGGGACGTATATACAGGGTCCGGCAATAGTGCGTCGCGCATCTCTGTAGCTCCTAAAATAAAAAAAAAACTTGGCAATTTTATTTAAGTGCAAACCTAAATGTATTAGGATGTATTTCAGGAAAATAATTTAACCTCTACAGGGCGTCTCAAAAAAGTGTGAGTAGATCAGGATAATTTTTTTTAAACGGAATACCCTGTATATTATTACATTTTTGGATTCCTTTTTGATCACTTTACATAATCTTAAGATATTTTTAAATAAGTTTTGATAGTTCCAGAGATATTAATAAATAAATTAAAAAAATATTTTTTTTCAGCCTTTATTAAAAAAATTATTAAAAATACAAGAACTGTCCTGAAATCAAAACTATATTAGGTGTTTACTTTAGATGTTTGGTCTGTACTTATTTTGCTATAAATCGTAATCTTAAATCATACAGGGTATTCAAAATTCTACGCGAAACTTTCTAAAATATAAAATAATTTGTCTTCGTTATTTTAAATGGAACACCCCGGATATTATTTGTTTAATAGATGAAGAATTAAAAAATGAACATTTTTTGGCTGAAAGAAAGGCTGACATACATATATTTTTTATTTATTTATCAATATCTCGGAAACTATCGAAATATAACTACTCATATCGTAGGATTATGTAAAGTAATCTGAAACGAAGCCAAAAATGTAATAATATACAGAGAGTTCCATTTAAAAAAAATCATCCCGATCCACTGACACATCTGTATATTTGAAAATTTACGAATACCAATAAAAAATTCGCCATACATTATTTTCAGTATTGAAATTGCTATTTAACTGCAAATATAAAATAATTTTAAATGTAATAAGAATGGATTTATTTTAACTAAAGATAATGTGTTTTTCTTTACAGATCTGGGTAGCAGTTTGGTCAATAATCTGTTTGGTTTTCACCTTATTTGGCCTGATAACGTTTATCATTCAACCAAAACGGTTTAGGTGGCCTGCCCGACCCATCCTATATCTTACAGCTTGCGGTTTTGTCACTTGTACCATCTACTTAATTCGATGGATCGAGGGACCCTACACTTGTGCTGGTAATTTAAATTGGTTTTTGAAAATACTGTGATATTTTTTAAACGTATTTCATCATTTTTAGGTAACCTGGCTTACGAAAAACCAGCAGAAAGTCTATCCTGTGTGGGCATATCTCTCATCCTTTTATTTTGCGACATCGCCTATACTCTATGGTGGACAGTTTTCTGCTTTGTATGGTTTCTCAGCGCTATGAAGGAATGGTCCACGGAAGCAATAGAGAGGATTTCATCTCGACTTCACGCAGTCGTGTGGATATTTTCGGCCATACCCATGTTCTATGTCCTAATGTCGAACCATATAACCATCAACCACTTGTCGGGATTCTGCGAGGTCACCAACAAGGTTCTAGTCTTTTTCCAGTTGTTTTTCATGGTTCTAAGCAGCATTTTAGCGGTCCTGACTTCGGTCGCTTTAAAAAATGTTCGAAAAACACTTTTAATCGCCGGAAGGTCGCCTTTGAAACTAGAAAGATTATTTTATCGTCTTCTAGTAATTAGCATAGGTATTAGTGTGCCTTATTTTATGTATCTGATGTGCCAGTTATACAACACTTTTACGATAGCTTTAACCAAATTAGTATTAAGGAAAACAAGTATTATTTTTGCTACCCTGTGGGTGTATAGTCCAAAGACATTTGATATGTGGAGAGATTTGATTTGTGTGTATAAAAGATCTAGCTCGGAAAGTACCGACCAGAATAAAAATATTTTTACGTCATTGTTACCAAAAGTTTTTAAAAATGCGGAGGACAGTAGCACCAAATCAAGTAACAATACACTGATAAATAATAACAAGAGTATTATTGACGAGAAAAAAACTATTTTTGATATATTTTTTGCTAGCACCTCTCACAATGTGCCTGTAAGTCGAGTATAAACATGTGTTACACAAAGAAAATAGGTAGCTTTGTAATGTTTCTCCTGTATATTTTCTCATTGCTTTACAAATTATGCCTCTACTTTAAGAAGATGCCTTAATATTGTACATAGAAAATTAACAAATGATTATATGTAATTATTATTGTTAATGTTGTAAGATATTGTTAATTTATTGTAAAGATGTGATACTAGATAGTAACTATTTTTATACATTTTTTGTAATTAACCAGTTATGTTTTAATAACTATTTATTGTAGGTATTGTACATGACAAATAAATATACATATAAAAATATGAGATGAGTATTAATATAGATTTTATTTTAAATAAAAAAATGTATTTAACATAACTTTTATTTAGTTGTATCATTACACCTGATTACATACAGAATTGATTGTCTTTAATTAGTGGTCTGAATTGTAACATGTAAAATAATGATAGAATAGACAACCAATTGATTTTATATCTTTGTTTAACTCATTATAGACCACCAATTTAGAATAACCAAACTGTCTAAAGTAGTAATAAGTAAAAAAAAACATATAACAATTTAAACTTAACACTGCTATAATCTATTATCCAAAATCACATGATGCATACGAGATTATTATGTCCCTTAAAATGAAACTTAAGCAGATGCATTTTTGAATCTTTGACTAACATCTTCCCAGTTGACAATATCAAACAAAGCATTTACATAGTCAGCACGAACATTCTTATATTGCAAATAGTATGCATGTTCCCAAACGTCGATTCCAAATAATGGAATTAATCCGGTTGTTGCTTGCAGTGGGTCTTGATTGGAACATGTAGCCACACGTAGGAGCCCTATGAATATTTAAAATTACGTTAAGAACATTTTTTTACACTAACAATAGTACCTGTTTGCTTTTCATAACCAAGCCAGCCCCAACCAGATCCCTGTACAGCAATTGTCGTAGCAGCTAATTGTTTCTTTAAATTCTCCAAATTACCAAATGAATTATTAATAGCTGTACATAATTCCGGACTTGGTTTTGTACTTGCAGGACTTAAATTTTGCCAAAAAATGGAATGGTTAATGTGTCCCCCACCATTAAACTTAAGTGCCGGGGCTAAGCTAATCTGAGTGCTAAAGACCAAATGCATATTGTATTATTTAAAATCAGCTTAGCAAAATACATACGTAACATCACCCTTTTCAACTGCACTTTTTAATTTTTCTTCCGCTGCATTCAAATTAGTTATGTAAGTTTGGTGATGCTTTGTATGGTGAAGAGTCATTATTTCACGTGAAATTACTGGCTCCAAAGCGGCATAATCATATGGTAAATCCGGCAAAGTATGTTTCAATCTAGCACCTCTGCAAAATAAATTGTTCAGGTTCTAAATGTACTATACAAATATTATAAATAATACCTGGAAACAGTAGTAATAATTTGACGAACAGCAAACATTTTGTTATGGAATTTAGAATAAAAAAAACTTCAAACCAGAGCTTCAAACTAATGAGATATGTTACGAAAGAGATTCAAAAGGAAAGATAATTTGACAGATTTTGACTTTGACCACAGACAATTTTTTTAAGATTTTTATATTTTCCTGCCAGCAGGAATTTTCTTTACACCGATGCCAATAACTATAAATTTTTAAAGTAAATATCACAAACTAAAAAACACATTTTACTCAATATGATTACCTATATCTATAATAGATTAAAATTTAAATGTAAAACTGAGAAATAATATTTAAATTTTGTAGTTTATACAATTCAATATCAAATTTTGTACGTTTAATTCCCAGCATAAGAATAAAATTTTTTCATTCAATAACAACTTGGCAACGTGAGGCCCTCTACCCGTCAACTAAGAACTAAGAGTTAATTGACAATTGACAAATAGATTTGTCACTACTGTCACTAGTCACTATTATTATTTATTATCAACAATTTTATGAAAAAGTAAACAATGGAGAAAAACTTGGAAGATGTTATGGACGAAATGTAATTAATTATTTTTTAGTATATCTTCCAATTAGTCTTATTTTATCAATTTTGTAGTTTGGTTCATCCAGATGTATTTGGGTGCCTATTCGCGGATCAACGAGGATTGTGTATTGCAGGTAACAATCAGCAGCTTTAAAATTTTCAGTTCATGTTATAACTATTTTTCCTTTTATAAGCCAAAGGTAAAGCATCCAAAGACACTGCTGGATATATAACAGCTATAGCTCATCAGGCAGCAAAACTAGAACCTAATAGCAAAATGCCAGTCATAACTCTGGAAAGTGAGAACCAAATGTGTATTATTCAAAATACCGGATCTATTACTGGAGCTATTTATAAAAGAACATAGTAGAATGAAATCTATAAAAGTTTGTTAAATATTTATACCACTACACTAGGTATGTTGTTATGAATTTCTCATTCAATCTGTTTCTCTTTCATTTTTATAAACTGATAAATATTATGTTATGTGTGAGACATATCATCAGACCTGATTTTTCTCTGAACCTTCACCATAAAAAATAATTTATAATTGTAAAAAAAATATGTACTTTTATAGATAGACTTTATTAAGAATTAAATTATATATAGAAAATATTTTTTATCACAAATATACCTATAATAATATTCAGTCAGTTTTGATAGATAATTTTCTTTTGTATTTTGCATATCCTAATTTTAACAAAGTTTGATTGTCAATAGCCCATACAACCAATGTTCCTAATAATAGTAACATTCCTATTCCGATATGGCCAAGAACTGTATTAGGTAAGATACATTTCTAAAAAGTATATAAAATTTACTTATGTAATTTACTTTTCCATATTATTTTACTTACTTCTGACAATTTTGTGCCTATTCCTGAAATAACTAAAATTGCAATATATTTTTTATCAGGTATTAAGCCTTCAATAGGTTTGTATCCAGTTTTTAAGAATTTTTCATGGATAAAATATAAACTATGGATTATTCTTGCTGCCATGTTAATACAATTAGCAACTATAAATCCTACAGGTCCCAATATATTTGTTAAAATATATGATATCAACAAAAAACTGATTGAGAATACTACCATTACGTAGTTATACCTGGAAAAGTATTACCGCCAATTTTACACATTTTATAATCACACTAATACTGAATGTACCTATCTAACTGTATATTTGTCATGGTAGCAAATACATATGCCTCTGTTACACCATTAATTGCCAGAAGAACTATAGCAAAGCAGTGAAATTGCAGCAGAGTTGTAGGTAAATCACTTTCTATCAATTTTTTGCCACCATATAAATATAATAGAGTAGAACTATAGGACTGACCAAATGTTACAACTAACAGACCAATACTAGTAACTATTTTACACAACTGATTTAAAACATTAGTTGCTTCGGCTATTTTTTTCTAGAACATTAATATAATTGAGAAATTTATTAATATATTTCATATAATAAAAATACTTTATCCTGTTTATCTAAAGGTTCATCCCTTAATACCATTTGGGTGAAATAAAAATATGCTGATTCCTCTATAGGCCGAAATATAAATCTAAAAAAATTGATATTATAAAACTTAAAATAAAGAAAGATTATATTAATGTACCTTGCTGCTAGACTACCCAAATTATTTACAATGTCATAAACAGACTGTTGACTAAAAGTTAAAACAGGTGATATAGTCATCACATATCTTTCGCCTTCGGTTAGGACTTGTTTTATAACACACTGTTTCACAAAACTTACTGTCAAAACTAAAAGCTTTCTATTAATTGATTCATCCTAAAAAATATGATGGCATGATGAAATGAATATCATATAGTAACATTAATCTCCTTACCTCATTGAACATAAAACCAGGGAAAAAATTTAAGATACTTCTGAAAGGAAAATCACTCATATCAGCAAATAAAGTTCCATTGTGACTAGTTTTTTTATCATCTCCATCCAGTGCTTTTATTTCATTCAATTTTAGAATATACCAGGTAAAAAATCCATAATACAGTCCGCACAATATCACTGCAGAAAATATTTGGGCCAGAGAAAATGCAGTTATTGCATTATTCGGATAACTCAATACGAAATATACAAAAATGAATGTCCTACTTAAAATATAGATTGTTTCAAATACTATCTGAAAGTAATAAAATATATTCAGTGTAATAAATTATAGCATTCAAGTGTCCATACAAACCTTCAACTTAACAAAACAGTAGCTTTGAGCTACTAAAATAACACTTTGAGTACACTGCTCTATGATACATGAGATTGCAATAGCATAGCATCCAAGTTTATATTGTGCAATATAAACTTCATCAGTTGGGCTTAGTAGGTTTATCCAAACATATACTAAGACAGCACCTAACACTCCTGACAGAGGAACCCTATAAATGGTATAATATGTTAAAAATAGTATATTGTGTTATTTTATTCAGATACTGACGACAACCATATCATATTTATAACTTGTGCCCAATTATGTGATTTTGTATTTGTAAGACATGCTTTCAAAAGGGGTTCCTTTGAAAGAAATAATATAGTCGACTCGAGTAGAAGAAGTCTTACATTCATGATTCCCAGGACATCTTGTCCTACAGTTCTTATAATAAAAGCGTTTAAAACGAAAGTAATACATCTGAAGAGAATCTATTGAAGGAGCAAAACCAGGAGTTAGGAGTTAGCTAGGTAAAATTTACTAGTTGTATTATGTTTACCTGAAATATAATGCTAAAAGAGGCGTTTTGAACGCTACTGCTTAAAATATTTCGGGTCATTTTGCTGATTTTTTCAACCTCCAGTTGTATTGTAGAGCAAATGTGACATTTTTCTAAGGTACTTGAATAAAATTTTATCTCTGAGCTATCTCTGAGCTCAAAAAATAGGTTAGAAAATAAAACAAAGTTAGGTTAAAGATTTTTATTTATGTAATCAGAAATATTAATTTCCAGCTACTTAAAACTTTATGCTTAAAACTAGGCATACTAACTGCAATAACTGACTAATATTAAATCATAGTTTGTCTAACAATCATATGTAATTTGCAGTTTAAGCGTCTTTAATAAGAAATCCTAATTTCTCTAGTCCATAAATAGAATTGAAAAAGCATGTTCATTCTTTAAATAAAACGATTTTGCATTGAAAATAAAATGGCTTTGGAAATTGAGCAGCGTAGGAATAATTTATTATGGTCATCCTTTCTTGTAAGGTAAATATATTGCCAAAGAATTTTTTCCTAAATACGTTTTTAAGGGTGGCGGAGTAGCAGGACTATTTGTGGATGTAGTATTATTTCCCTTAGATACATTAAAAACTAGGCTACAAGCTGAACAGGGATTTAAAAATGCAGGAGGATTTAGAGGAATATATAAAGGCATTGGAGTTCAAGTAATTGGAAGTGCTCCACAAGGTAAGTAATTTCATAAATTTTATATTATTTGAAAAAGCAACTAGAAATTGTAATAACTGGAGGTAAAAATCTTCATTTATAGATAACACTTTTCAGAATCCTATTTTTTGTGCTTTAGAGATATTGTGACCTTTCTTGGCTTTCTTTGAACTTATAAACATTAAATCTCTTTAAATTTTAAAAAACTTTTAAACTCTAATTATGTTTGTAGGTATGCAACCAGTAATATACGAATTTTAAATTGTAGGTGGTAATTTTTGAAACGTTTCTTATTTTAGCCGCTTTCTTTTTTGTAACTTATGAATCTATTAAGTATTATTCAGAACAAGTGCTTCCTAAGGGTGCAATGCCACTTGCTTATATGTTCGGTGCGTCAGTGGCTGAAGTTGTAAGTAACAATGTTTATGTCGTTCATAACAAATTTTCTTACTGTATTTTTAGATGGCTTGTTTAGTAAGAGTTCCTATGGAGGTGGTAAAACAACGGAAACAAACATCTTTAGTTAATAAATCGTCATTGAGAATATTATTGTCAGCTTATAAGCATGAAGGATTTTTTAAGGTTTTTATTCTTCAAATTTTTATATTGAGATTTTCAATGAGATTTTAATATTGTGAGGCGTTATAAAACCAACAATACATTAATAATTTGTAGACTTTAAGTCTATGGTTTTAAACACAGCCTATTCATTAGGCAGCTAGTCGATTTTGCTACTTATAGAATGGTTTTTAGAGCACTAGTCTCAATCAGGGGGGTGACAGTGAAATAGGAAAATTGGAAACAGTCATTAGTGTCATTCCTGTCATTTGCCTCACGACAAGTATGGCCGCCTAGACAAGGACAGCATTGTTTTTGTCTAACTATTGTCTAACTTCACAGTTTAGAATTGACAGATTTCAGTTTCAGAGACAACTTCAGATTTGTTCTAGAACAAATTCGAAAATATTCGACGCCATTTTAATTCATTCCGTTTAGTTTCGTTTTGGAAGTTCAGTTTAATATTTCGGCTGAAATTTATAAATATAAAGGTAATAAAGTATATAAAATATGTATTACATGAAGAATCCTGGAGAAAATGACGTTTATGCAGTATGTATGTCCCATGTATATGAAAAATAGGTAGTAAATAAACACTGTTTTTACATTTTTTAGATGCAAGAAAATGGTGTTATAATCTCTTTGATCGGCGATTTTTTTGAAAATGGAAACAATTTACAGCAAGGTAAGATCATTTTTAACTATAGCCAACATTAGTTATCTCCAGTATGTGCGATTTATTGTCAATAATGCAATAAATCGGACTGATAATCTGATTATGTTATCCGACTAAAAGTCTCTTTTTGCATCTTTTTGATTTATAAGCCAGGTTCTTTGGGAATAATGGACGCTTTTTTAAACAGTATATTTATATTTTATACCTATTGATATTTTTACATTGTTAATTTTAGTATAAAAAAATTGTTTTTCTGTTTTCAGGTTTTTGTATAAGGCTCCCGTTTTCATATTCCTGTGTCCGTTTTCTGTCCTTGAAGTTTGCGAATGCGTGTGTTTATTTACAAATTACTGTAAGTCATCATCAACTTAACTAATTTACGTTAAAAGTGCATATAATTAACTAATTGGTATTGAAACAATACAATCATCTTATATTTGTTAAAATAATTTTCGACATGTAAGAACAGTGTGTGCTTTTAATTAGGTTGATTGGCCGTTTATAATACGTTCGAGTAGATTAAAAACATACATTGTGTTCTTACTTCTTACATGTTGAAAATTATTTTAAATCTATTATAACCAGATTAAAACAACCCCCCTTCCCCGCACCCGTCTGTTCCGATAGTATTTCTTCCTCCAACTACCAGAGGCGCCCTTGTATAATAAAATTGAAATGTATAATAAGTTGCCTATCTATTTAATATTATAAGTCTTTTATCTATGATTTAACACAGAGTTGACACTTCTTTCTAGTTAATTATTTTATGGTCTCAATTAGTTTATATAAACCAAGCTTCAATGGAACTCAGAATCGGGCATTTTACATAACATAAGATAAGCAAGTATCTAGGTAAATGCACAGAGTTCCAAGTAAATAACTATAATTGGACTGGCTGCACAGACTGGCTGCCTTATTACTTATTAATAGCCTGTTGTTTTAACAATTCGTTTTTATCTCATAGTTTATGTTACAATTTACGAAAAGTAAATTTTGTTATATCACTATAATTTCATTTTTATGCAGTAATGAAACAACTATACTCATAATTAACTAATTTCGAATATGGGTTATAACATAAAAAGTCTCTTTGTGTTACAGGGTGTCTATAGAGGCTTTGGCTCAACAATAGTCAGAGAAATACCTTTTTCAGTTATACAGTTCCCAATTCTTGAATACTGTAAAGCCACTTACAGAACTAAATTTAAAAACAATGTTCCTTTAGAGTCTTTTGAGGTTGCTGTTTGTGGATCTATTGCAGGTATAATAATAAATACTGTTTGGAAACAGATAGATAGGTATATAATAATTTATTGAATATTAGGAGGTATTTCTGCAGCAGTAACAACACCTTTAGATGTAGTTAAAACTAGGATAATGTTAGCTGACAGAAGAAAAGCGCAAGCTGGTTCGTTAACATTTATAAGAACATTTAAACGAATTTTCAAGAACGAAGGTGTTAAAGGGTAAGTGCCAGCCAATCTAAATGATGTAAACACTCTTAAGGTCTCCATAGTAAAGTGAAAATATCACAAATCACCTCTGGAAATCACAAATAAAATTTTTATGTGGGTATGCAACCACCAATACAAACATTTCCCACTTAAATACAGTCGGTCCCTTGGGTCAGGGAAAATTTCGACAGATGCTATACAAAAAATGACAGAAAATACAAATTTACCTAGGAATTTATGACAGACACAACTGTCCCTGTCATGAATCTTCTTGTTGAACTGACTATATCTCTGAGACACTTAACAGACCATTTTTATTTATATACAGACATAACAAAATATTACATAATATTGAATAATAAAACCCAAAATGGTATTATTAAATATTAAACAAACCTTGTTTATTTTTAGGTTATTTGCGGGGGTAGTACCAAGAACACTATGGATATTTTTAGGTGGTTATATATTTTTTGGTAGTTATGATTTTGCAAAGAACAACATTTGTGATTTTATAGAAGATGGATCTTGTGACAGATGATATTTATTCTACCCACTGAATTGTGTTTAGGATTTTTGTTCAATAGTAGTTTTGTTTTAAATACATTATTTTTTTACTGTATGTTATTTTATTTCAATGAATCCAAAATGAACATTTTTCAGCCTGTTTATGAATAACACCAAAATTAGAGAAATATAATTTGTTTACATTTTTTCAATGTTCAATTTTTTTCAAATTTTCATAAATTTCACTTTTAAATAAGGCAAATATAAAAAAATAGCGAAAGATAAATTAAATCTTTTTTAATGTTTAAATAATATACATATTTTTTTAACTGTATGTCTGAAATTAATCTTTATAAATACTAAAAGAAAATACAATTTTAAATATTATATACTTCATGAACTCACAAAACATACATACAATAGTGGTTTGGTATAGTAATTGTAGGATTTAGATATAACATCTGTATTTAGTATTTAGAATATACAATAAAAGGTCTATGTAATAAATATGAAATATAGTATGCCTTATGTGCTAAATTTTATAAAAATATAAAGTAGGTAACTCATAGCTACAACTTACTGGCTACATTATTATTTATAATACTATAAAAATAGTGTATGTTTTTTCAAAACAACAAATTTATATTAATAATATTCAACTCTGGTTATAAAATATAAAGCTATATATATTTACATTAAAAATAAATGGCTCACTCCTTATCACAATATCTTTGAACTTTTCGTTCAATACAGCATCAACTGACAACCCGACTTATTATGTTCTATTACCTCTAGTTTCAACAAGCCCACCGTTTCCTTCAACTGATTTACCATAGAACCTAATTCCACATTTTCAGTCTTAAGCATTTTCACTTTGTCTTCTAATTTTGATATCCTTTCCAGTTTACGTGATCTGCATTTTGATGCTGCTAGCCTAAGAAGTTATTTAAATATTAACATACAATATTATTTTAAAGTATACTTTATTACTTTACCTGTTTCTTTGTCGTTTTCGTTCAAGTTTCATTCTTTCCTGGTATTCCATATCAATAGGGGACATTGGTGGACTGTTGTTGATATTAGGTACAATTTGGGGTTCTTCTTTGATTTGTGGAATGAATGAATCATTGTAAATTGTGCTGGTGTTACTATCAGATCCATGTTGTGAGCCATTGTTGTGAAGATTACTTAATGCTTCAACAAAACCTCCAGCAAATCTTTCTTGTTCAGCTGTTACATTTTTTGGAAAAGGAAACGATGGTGTTGGAGTATTTGGTAGTGGATTGTCTAAAAAAAATAAATTGTTTAAATTGAAATATAGAATTTAAAAATAATAACACGTACCTAAAATCATGTTTTCTAACTCTGGAGTATCTACTTTCAGTTTCATCAGGTCAGGAGATGATAATACCTCACTGAGACCCCCTTCGCCTGTAGACAAAGGAAAAGCTAAATTCTTTTTAGCTTGATTAAAATCTAATGTCAGGCTCCTTTTCATTGTAGACACGTTCGGTTTGTTACTTTCGTTGAACTGGCTCATCTTAATTATTCTTATAAAGTTCTAATCCCAGCCAAGACCAAAGTTTGAAAAAGAGATACACAGGTAGAATCACAAGAACCAACAGAAAATAATATACACTATCAGATATTTCCATACAACCTAGAAATCGAAAAAAATACGAAGCGTAAAACAAAGAACAAGTGTTATTACATTGGTAAACGTAATAATTTGACCTCGTCACAATAACATCCACAAAAATATTTTATTTTAAGCCTACACCTACCTTAGAATCGTATAGAAACAAACGATGAAGTAACAACTGTAGCGTGCTTCCTGTTCTCTTTCTGAATCACCTATCGTAAAAATCGTAGTAAGGAATTGTTTTTAATGAAAGATTTCTGAAGAAACTTACTTTTAATCAAGAAAATGAAAGCTTTCTGGGAAATCTAAAAATGGCGATGACGTTTTCCTTTTGGAGGTTAGATATGACTCATAAAAGAATCCATGTTCGTTCGTTATAATTGCCCGTTTGTTTATTTTTTTAGTGTATTGCTGGTTATCAATACTAAGGGGTCACTTTAATTAATTACCATTGGCGTGACAGAAAAAAAAATCTATAATTCTATTATAATTATTAATTAAATAATAATCTCAGTAATAACATAATAGTAGACCGAACTTTCCTATAGAATAGCTTCTCAACGTCAAGTACATTTATCATAATAAACATCAAATACCCACGGTACTATTTTTAAAATTCAAATTTTAAAATATTCAAACCGCTAATCGTTTTCTTCTTAATATTATACAATCAACCTACCAGATAAAAGTACTGTTAAATGAATGAGAATTAAATAGATTGTAAAAATTATTTTACGCACAATAGCCTTTCTCAGTTCATAAGCGATATAGTTTAATTATAAAATCAATGATAATCATTTTTGTAAGTATATCAAATTACTCTCGAATACTTGCAATGTAAAATTAATTTTTCTGCAAGAATCCAAGGCTAGAATGCATATAATTTAATGTTAATTAGTCAGTGACACACCTTTACTTAACTTAAACCACCGCGGTTTGCTCTAAATTGCGTTTTAGTATCGACTAATCTTTAATAAAGAACACAAGGTGTAAAGTTCTTAGAATATAATTAAAAATGAAACTACTGGTAAGTATAAGAAAACATAATTTTGTTTAAAAATATCTAAAGAAACAAAGTGCGCTCAAACCCATATAATTTATGAGAAAATTGCACATTTTTTAATTAATAGTGCCATATTAGTTACAAAAAGTTACTTTGTATTGTCACGTTAAAACTACATAAATCTGCACATTCCTTTTATTAGTCCTTTTATTACTTTAATATAAATTCATATTTAGAAAAGAACTGGATATACAAAGAGGGTATCAAAAAAATAGTGTAACTTTGGCAGGTGATTCCACAGATAAAAATAAAACAAAAAGTTCCTAAAATGTTGCCCTAAAATGCTTCCCGAAGAAGTTCTTCTTCTTAAGGTGCCGTGCAGATTCCTGCGTAGGCGTTCATCTTTTTCTTCCTCATCAGATGGTTCTGTTAACTGCCGCGACTTGGAGTGCTTGGAAGTCCTGTATGCCTGTCCAATGACGAATATTTCTCAGCCAGGATAGCTTCCTTCGTCCTATCGCCCTTCTGCCCCCCTCTATTTTACCCTGGAGAATCAGACGCTGAAAGTGATAGCGTTCTCCACGTAGTATGTGTCCCAAATAGGATATTTTCCTCTTCTTGATGATTTCGAAGAGTTCACGTTGTTCCAGACCAGCTCTTCTGAGAATGTCTTCATTCCTAACACGGTCGACCCAGGGCACTCTTAGCATTCGTCGTAGGGTCCACATTTCGAAGGCTTCAATTCGGTTTATTGTTGCTACCTTCAGTGTCCATGCTTCCACACCATATAACAAAACGGGCCAGACATAGCACTTCACCATTCTGTATCTAAGGCCGAAGTTCGAATTCCTATCTGTGAGAAATCTTCGCAGTCTCAGAAAAGTAGATCTTGCTTGTTCGATCCTGCATTTGATCTCCTGGTCCGGATCCCACGTTTCGTTAACCATGCATCCCAAATATTTAAATTGTGTGACCTGCTTGATGACCTCCCCATTTAAGTAAATTCTGGTGTTCGGAATATTGTTTCTGCTAACAGCCATAAATTTAGTTTTTGTAGTATTTATGTTTAAACCCAGTCTTTGACTTTCACTGTTAACCTTATTTAGAAGGATTTAGAGATCATTTGCATTGTCTGCCAATATCACTGTGTCATCCGCATATCGGATATTATTAATTGGAATACCATTTATTTTCAAACCGATGGGACTATCGGAGATTGACTCAGTGAATGCTCTTTCCACATATAAATTGAACAACATTGGAGATAGAATACACCCTTGCCTTACCCCCTTTTTATTTCAAAATCTTCTGTTACTCCCACGCTATGTATACGAATTTCAGCTTTTTGGTTCCAATACAAATTACTGATGAGCCTTATATCTTTTCCATCAAGTCCCAAGTCTCTGAGGTATGATATAAGGAGGTTATGTTTAACGTTATCGAACGCCTTTTCATAGTCTATAAAGCACATGAAGACATCTTTTCTCTGATCTTGGCAATTCTGTACTAAAGTTTGAAGACTGAATATGGCTTCTCTAGTACCAAAGCCGTTCTTAAATCCAAAAAAGCCGTTCTTAAATCCGAAGAAGTTACAGCCCTCGAAAGGTTATAAAAATAATATATTTTTTTTATTTTTAAGAACATTGGCAAACCGTTCTTACTGAAATTTGGTACTCGTACACACATTTTAATTCCACAGCGAATGGCGATTGTGAAAAATTCACAATCAGACCTGGAAGGGTATACTTTCCATTAGGGTAGAGACTACTAATGATGGTACTTCTTTTGTTCTTATAGATACAGTAATTTAAACAAATGATATAAAAAGCTAGAACTTTTTTACGTAAAAATATTTGCGTTTAAAGATTACGATACATCGATTTTAGCAAAAACAGTTTAGCAATGTTCTTAAAAATAAACAAAATATATTATTTTCATTTAATCTTTCGAGGGCTGTAACTAGGGTTCGTAAAAGTACATGTTACTCTTAAAAACTATAATGTAATGTAGTTTACATGAAGTTAATCGACGTAGATAATGTAGTTTATGTAACTTTCAAATGTCAAAGATTTGAGGCAGGTTTGGGGTTCGGTAATAACAAGTTAAAGATGAGTTGAAGCTTTTATTTAGAAAAGATAAGGAATTTGGCTTTAAATATAGTATTGGCGTCAAAAAATATTATTTACACCCCTCATACGGAGGAAATGAAAAATATACTTTCTAAAAAGTTTTGAAAAAATTACTGACTTATAGGTGATTAAAATCTTATGATATTTTATATTTGTAATTTGGTTATTTTTTATTACATATTTTTTTTATTATATGAGATGAGTTTTGTATTTTATATCTAATAATTTTAATATACTGTCACAATATTGTGTAATTCATTATACAGTATGGGTCAGAAATATGTGCAAGTATTTTAACTGGTAGTATAATTCAGCCCCAGAAACACGCCTATGAGGTTTTTTTCACAAAAAAAAAATTAAAATTCGAAATTTTTTGAAAAAAATTTTGGAAATATTTTTAGTTTTTAGTTAAAAATCATAATTTCTTGATAATATGACAACATAGGTAGTAGATTCAATTTAGAAGAAAGAAAATCCAGAAAAGATCCAGCGGTTCTCAAAATTTTAGTAAAAAGTAAATAAATAACTCCGTTATTTTGGACATATTTGAAAACGATAAGGAGAAAATATGTTTCTTTTATCGAGATCTACTACCCCTTAAAATACTTGCAGTTATTTCTGGGACACCCTGTATATTCGTTTTTTTTATCTGAATTCATAATGCTTTAATTAAAGAAATAATTTATACCTTACATGTTTCATTAAAATGAACATTTTTATTTATAGGATTGTTTTTCTATCGTAATAACAATATATGTAATTTATTAAAGTAATTTTCATGTAGTTAATGAACAAGAAAAGATAGTTTTTGCAGAAAAAACTACAGGTAGTTAATCAAATAAATTGCGTCATCGTCTTAATTAACTATTTCCGAACCCTGGGCTGTAACCTTGTATATAAACAAGGGCTGTAACTTCTTCGCAAAGCATTTTAGGGCATATGCTCAAAGGAACTGTTTATTTTATTTTTATCTGTAGAATCACCCGTCGAAGTTAGATATACTATTTTTTGTCACCCTGTATTGCGTTGCTATTACTCAAAGAATATACCAAGAAAAAGAAAGTGACTTACTAAAACATGGTTCTATGTTAGTGGTACCATTTATTGTAATGTAAGGGTCTCAATTAAATACGCTCATTGATATAATTTCACCTGAAACTATCATTTTAAATATGAAAACCATCTTAAGAGTTTTATTTTTTAGACAATATTAACAAATCTAATGCAAAGCTTTACTATGCGTTGTGTAAAAAGTAAAATTTATTAGTAAAATTTTAAACATACAAAAAATAGAATTCAAATATCTAAATATCGTTTATTATAATAAAACAAGACTAACGTAATACCCCAAAGTTTTTTAAATGGATTAAATATAAATACTAATAAATAGGTACTTAATTGATGAAAAAAAAATACTTACATTATATTTTAGGGCAACAAACAAAAATAATTGTCTAATTAAAGCACATATAATAAAAATAAAAGTATTTACTTCTACATATAGATCCTGTAATAAATTTCAATTTATATTTTGATACAGGTAATTTTCCCTCTTATGGTTTCCATAGCGTCAGGAATTGCTATAGACGGAGGTGCTACCTTGGTAGGTCCGGATGAACCAGGAACTCTAATTAAAGGACCTTCATCCAAAGCAACAGTGAAAGGACCATCAGGAAAACTTATAATTGCAGGAGGTGACACAGGAGCTGTGTCTTCTGGCCCCAAAGCTGGAGGAGTTGTCAGTGCTGCTGGTCCAACTCCTGGTAATTATTTTTATTTATACAGGGTGACCTAATAACGTTCCAAAAGGAATAAGCTTCAAATAAGGTTTTCTATTTGAGAATTTTCAATCCACAAACTTTCGAATACTTTGATCAATCCTTATTTTTTAATTTAATTTAGTCTTTTTCGCTGTATACTATGAGATTACCATAGATATGAAATACCATAGAAACGCCTTGTGTATCTAAAAAATATGTGCGCTACCATTGCCCGTATATTTTGTAGAAAAGATTGGACTCAAAGTTCTTAAGCCTTTTTGGAACACTGATAAATGTTAATATCCTGTTAATCCTTTTTTATTTTTGCAGGTGTAATCGCGCAAGCTATACCCGTAGCAAGGGTGGAACCCGTAGCAAGTCCAATTTTAGAACCTGTACCTGTGATAGCAGCCCCTGCATTGCCTTTAAAATTAGTGCCGCAACAACCCATTGAATATATTGAAACCTACGAAGAACCAAAATATGTAGCTCCATATCCGATACCTATAGAATATTACAAGAAACCGTATTATTAATATTTTTTTTTCTTCCTAAATTAATATGCCATATTATGACCACTGATAATTATTTAAATACGGTTTATGTATATAAATAGTAATAATTAACAATTAATTTTATATCTTTTTTTTTTGTTAAGAGATACTTAATAAAAGTGCATGCCTATACTTTTATGTAATGATTATGTAATTAATAATACCGGTGTATAATATATAAAACGGTAAATACAAAAACCTTCTATTTTCAACCCACTAGTTCCTTCAAATCTTTATCTCAAGGGCAGTGCAATATAGTTCGGTTTCATAAGTCTATGCCGAGGTGGTATTGTTAACTTTGCGGTCATATAGTTCTTAGGTGATTTCCTTGCAGATCGCTCTGTATAAAACATTGCATTAAAATTTGTGTTTTAAATAGTTACCTATATACCTTACATTTGCAAAAAATACTTAGAAACTTTGAGACATTTTATGAGATAAATCATAATAAATAAATATATTTTTTGTTTCGTTTCTTTGACCTGTATACTATATATTTTTTGTTTTCACTCTTGGCTTTAGGTCGTTGGGGTTGCAAAGATGTTTCTAGATTTTGTTCATTATTTTTTTATTTTATGACGACGTTTCGACAGTATATGTCTTTTTCAAGCCTCTTAAACGTAGATTCTTACAGAGTTAAAATTTGTTAAAACTGGACAACACAATAACACATATTAACTATTGTTTTAGTTGTTTTTGGACATTACACTTTACTATAGAGCACGTACATATTTCCTTGCAGATCGCTCTGTATAAAACACATTTATCATTTCAATACCCGATGTCTACTGTTTTTAGTGCGTTAGAGGATCGACAGATATATTTTGCTTAGATTTTTTAGGTCTTTTTTATCATTTACCGCGTTTTTGTTTTTTTGTATTTCCACCATTTCATAAAATTCTCTCTTTTTTTGGTGATTTTCTGTGTTTAAGAATTTTTGGAGTCCATCTTTGAATATTTTGTTTATTAGTTTTTGTGGATGGTTATTTTCTTTTAATGCATTTTTTGCTTTTTTTATTGAAGCATCTCTATATTCTGGGTCGGATAGACGAATTGATCTGTCCGCCAAGTCAATTATCACCGATCTTTTTTGGTTAGCTGGATGGTTAGATAAAAAATTGAGATATCTTGAGGACCAAGATTTCTTTGTATACCATTCGGTTTTTATGGTTTGATTGGTATGATGTAAAGTAATATCTAAGAAGTTAATTTTTTTATCGTTTTCTATTTCTGACGTAAATTGAATATGTTTATTATAGGCATTACAATTTACATTAAATTTTTCTTCGACATTAAATTTTTCTACAATAATATCTGTCGATCCTCTAACGCACTAAAAACAGTAGACATCGGGTATTGAAATGATAAATGTGTTTTATACAGAGCGATCTGCAAGGAAATATGTACGTGCTCTATAGTAAAGTGTAATGTCCAAAAACAACTAAAACAATAGTTAATATGTGTTATTGTGTTCTCCAGTTTTAACAAATTTTAACTCTGTAAGAATCTACGTTCAAGGTAAGACCTTTTAGTTTGACATTTTATCTTATTGATTTTAACTGACTGTTTTTGTGTACTTAAAGAGGCTTGAAAAAGACATATACTGTCGAAACGAGCTAATCTGCTGCCAGGGTCTTTAATGAAAATAACCATGTTAAAGGGCGATGATCTGTTATTAAAGTAAATTTACGACCAAAAAGATATGGACGAAAATGTTTAACTGCCCATACGATTGCCAAAAGTTCACGCTCTATAGTGGAATATTTTGTTTCCAGCGCCGCAAAGGGTTCTAGAAGCAAAAAGCAATAGGTAAATCTTTTCCCTATGTGTCCTTGTGAAAGAACGGCTCCTATAGCAAAAAGCACTAGCATCTGTTGTTAATAGGAAAGGTTCTTCAAAATTTGGATATATCAGAATAGGATTTGAAGTCAAAGAATTCTTTAATACTTCAAAAGAATCTAAACAATCCTGATTAAAAATAAATGGAACATCTTTTTGCAAAAGTCTTGTTAAAGGCTTTGATAATTTTGCAAAGTTTGAGATAAATCGACGGTAATATCCTTAGGCTAAGCCTAAGAAAGATTTTATTTCTTTCGGATTTTTGGGTTGTGGAAAATTTTGAATACATGAAACTTTTTCTGGATTGGGTTTAACACCTTCTGGAGTTATTAAATGTCCTAAGTATGCAACTTCTTTTTTAAGAAATTCACATTTATCTGGTTGTATTTTAAGATTTGCCTTTTGTAATCTTTGAAAAACTTCTTTAAGTCTGGAAATGTGTTCATGAATAGTTGGAGAATAAATTATATTATATATAATATAATATATATATAAATATATATATATATATATATATATATATATATATATATATATATATATATATATATATATATATATATATATATATATATATATATATATATATATATATATATATATATATATACTATATATATATATATATATATATAATAATAATACATTTTTTACAATATTTTATTCTTTAATTTAAGCTGAACCTTGAGACGTGGCATTTTATTTTGGTTGGAAAATTGATACGTAGTGTAATCCTCGTTCGAAATGTACAAGTATATTTATTTTCGTGATATTTAACAAAACGTTCATAGTAATCACCACGAAAATTTACTTTATTTGCATAATAAAGTCTATTATATACACATATATATATATATATATATATATATATATATATATATATATATATATATATATATATATATATATAGTCTGTCCGCAACGAGTCAAGGAAGATTTCGACAGACGTCCAGAAAATTATAAAAAATACCAATTACCTGTGAATTTAAAGGTATTTTAATATAATTACTGACAGATTATACCGTATCGTCGAATAAAAACGGCGTCACCGATGGCTATGAAATAAAGATCGCTGTCATTTTATACGTTAATTTATATGGGAAATTTCATCGATCGTCATTTCCCAGCCAGCTCGACGCCGTTTTTTTTTCGATCATACGGTAACAGGGTGTCCCCCAGGCTGAGCGTGCATCAGAAGTTTCTAGAGAACCACAATATCTAGATCGGTGATTTTTTGCACATCATTGTTTCACAACGAGATCTATCGATTAAAAATATTTTCAATATGGCGGCACTTCCGGAAATACCGGAAGCTGACAGCAACTTACTTATTTTAAATGGGTGGCCCCATTTTTTATTGCATATTTAAATTCTCCGTAAAATTTTATGAATTTTGATATTAAACACTCTATATCTAACATTAACCGTTTTTGAGAAAAAAATATTTAAAATTTTTGGATGAAAAAAATTGCTTGTCAAAAATATGTGTATAGCCTACACGTCAAAATTAGTGGTTACCACAGCCACTGTGCCATAAAGATAAGACATGTAGTTATCTATTTCAAAAATTAAATTGTTCGAATGTCATATAGTAATGACCTTAGCTGTCATGGAATTTAGCGATTAAAAAATTATCATAAACCATTTTTTTTCAAATGGAAACCCGCTTTTTTTATTTCACTAGTGAAAAGGTTTTCCAATTCGTTACTTTTTGAATATACATGTTCCTATACCTAAAATAAATCTTAAATAACTTAAAAACGATTTATTTTTGGGTATAAGGCTATCTTATATTCAAAAAACAGATGAAACCTTTTCACTAGTGAAATAAAAAAAGCGGGTTTCCATTTGAAAAAAAAATGGTTTATGATAATTTTTTAATCGCTCAATTCCATGACAGCTAACGTCATTACTATCAGTTACTATATGACATTCGAACAATTTAATTTTTGAAATAGATAGCCACATGTCTTCGCTTTATGACACAGTGGCTGTAGTAACCACTAGTTTTGACGTTTAGGCTACATATATATTTTTGACAGGCAATTTTTTTTGTCCAAAAATTTTAAATATTTTTTTTCTCAAAAACGGTTAATGTTAGGTATAGAGTGTTTAATATCAAAAATTCATAAAATTTTACAGAGAATTTAAGAATGTAATAAAAAATGGGGTACCCATTTAAAATAAGAAAGTTGTTATCAACTTTCGGTACGTCCGGAAGTGCCGCCATATTGAAAATATTTTTAATCGATAGATCTCATTGTAAAACAATGATGTGCTAAAAATCTCCGATCTAGATATTGTAGTTCTCTAGAAACTTCTAATGCACGCTCAGCCTGGGACACCCTGTATATGCCTGTTTAAAAAATATATTTTCATTAAAAAAAAAAATAAAGTCTAAACATGCGGAAAATTTCGTCGAAAAACGACCATAGGTGTTTATTTAAGTCATAAGCACAGTCATAAAAGTGTCATAATCATTGAGTAATCCTTAGTTTGACTGGTAGAACTATTGTCATCAATGTTATTATGCCCACTATGTCGTTATTTGATATTTTTACTGTTTTAAAGAAACTGTTTTAAAAATTTTAAATATAATCAATACTAAAAATTAATAGAAATTTAAACTAGAGTTGAGCGGGCAAGGTATAGCGAACGAACTCTTCGACGTCACCATTTACAAGGTTGTCAAGCTTTGTTTTCCGCCACACTACCAACACTACCTTTGTATTTTTCTTTCATATTTTCGCTGTGTATTTTCCTATTCATGATCAAGAAAAAAACGGAGTCAGCGATGGCTTTGAATCGAAGATCCTCATTTTATATGTAAAATTATATGGGGAATGTTATTGATCCGGATTGTTATTTCCCAGCCAACTGGGTACCATTTTTTTTTTCAATCATTGGGTTTCGTTATGTTTCATACATGTATAGTTCACTATACTGTCACAGATTCAGCTATGATACTATACTATTGTTATTGACAATTTAACTCTGACCTATCTAACAAAACACGTAGTTTCTCACATTTAAATTTATTGGATAGAATTAATTACAAAGAATAGTTATTTATCTTAAAAATTACATTTGCAATATGAAAAAAAAACAGTTTTTCAAACTAAGCGCTAAAAACATTTTTTCTATTTTTAAAAAATACATTTGTGATCCAATATATTCAATTATTTTAGATCAACACATACCTATAGTGAAATTAACTATTAAAATTATAATACTTCTTATTAGGAACAATATAAAAAGAATAATTCGCGATTTTTTCTTTAATCAATATCCTAAATTTCTATTAAAGATCAAAACATTTTCAAAAATGACTAGATTTACTGGTTAGAACATTAAAAAACCCTGTAGGTTAAAAGATGCTGGCACAGAGTATTTATAAATGAACAAAAACCAGCTCATAGTTACTTAAATACTGTAATGTTAATTTAGATATTCTCAAAATATAATTTAAAGAACATTAAGTACATAATACTGTATAGTGCTATTCATAAAGTACATGGCAAATATATTTTTTATTTGATTGACGTTATATAGTTTGATATCAGATCAAAACTGTCAAGTTTGACATTTGACTTTGTTGATGTTGTTATGGACACAAATATATAGCAGGTATACAGAAGCGGCAGTATGCGTCGGCTTCTTTGAAGCATGTATCCTAATTTTTTTGACATGGGTATTATTTTTTTAAGTCGGTAATTAAACACCCAATATACATTGAAAAAAATGCCTACAATTTTATTAAAAGGTAAAAAATATATTGAGAAAAACAATGACTAAAGAATACAAGGATAAATAGCACCCCAGACCAAACTGTTACTATTCTTCCAAACAGTGCCGTGGCACATATTTTTCTTAACATAGCCGTTTGATGCGATACTTATATTTTTGATAACTGTTTTGACTACGCCTATGGTGTATGCGGTGATATCATACTAATTAATTATGAAAAAAACGTATTAAAATGTTAACAAAATGTACAAAACTAGTATCGACGTATAGCACGTTATCAAGTATGTACATATAATATCAGAAAAATAATTATCCAATTTAATAAAAAAAAAAACGTTAAAAAGGTGGAGTGGACTTCCCTATGAAACGTAACTCCTGGCTCTTTCTGGTTCATTGCCCCTTTTACACTTGGAAGCTGAACAAATTACCATTGTAATAAAATTTATACAACGGTCACTACATCCAATAAACTATTAAAAATCACTAAAATTGTCGCTGATGACTCATTCGTTACTTCCAAAAAATAGCCCTTGCCTTGTATGCACCGAGTTCTGAATTCTGAAAGAGCCTATATAAACTTCTCTGAATTTTTATTATGACATATAATTCATATAGATACAGAAAATATGCATATAGAAAAAATAATTTTACTAAAACTGATAATAGTTAAAAAAATAAGGAGCCAAACTCACTTTTCCAGTTAATCATTAGTTCTTTTTTGGACGACTATGTCACATAATAAAATTATTTTAAGAAAAACATTATATTTGAAATGGACTATTATGTATAACACTACACGTCCTAAAGTTAGGATAAATATCACTATCCAATCAAATTGGTAAAGTATCGAATCTAAAATGCTAAATAATTTGATTAAAAAACGACCAGTCATTTTTCAATGAAACGGAATATACATAATACATAAGCCTACACATAACACTTATTCATTTGGAAATAGGGTATCACAATTTGTGCATATAACATAAATAGTAGGTTTACGTTTTAACTCTCCTGGACATTTTGTTAAATCCATTTCTACTGGACTTGTGACCATTCCTAGAGTCGGAATAACGTGGAGGCTTTTGACGAGTTTCGAAAACTACGTCTGAATCGGTATCGCTGTCAGATAAGTTACTTTTTCTTGAAACTAAAAAATAATATGTGGTGTCATCCTGTATAGGCAAAGAACTTCATAAGGGAGCATCAAACAAACAAAAACTCTATTAAAGCTTATCTCATTATTATTCTAAAAGCAGTTACCTAAGAATTTTTTTGCACTTATTCATTTACACCCTATTTTATGGTTTGATAAAACTTAGAGAATGATCATGATGGTTATAAAAAATATACATACATGGTGGAATATCATCTGTATCTTCAAGAAGCTTGTAATTGGTGGGCTTGACTTTGTCGTGTCTGCTATGGCACCAGCGGTAACACAGATATACTAATGCCCAAGTTGCACCCAAAAATGAAAGAGCGCCGCATATCATCCCCAAAACGACATAAAGAATGCTCCAGCTGCAATCAGATTCTCCATCTGATAGTATATACTGTTTAAAAAGATCCTAAAAAAAATCACATTAAGAAGTTAGTGGTCTTAAAACTATGCTCGAAAAAGCTGTTTTAAGCTGAAAAATTACATTATAAATAAAATTACTTCTAAGAAGTTCACCTCAGAAATTGAAATTTGAAATTTCAACTATTATATAAGTAGTTTAGTCATTGGGGATCAAAAAAGGGGCCTGTTTGGAAAAAAGTCCGGAAGTTTTGAAACTTTGCAGGTTTATAGGTTCTGGGATCCCTAACTAAAATCCATAAAATGCACATTTCCAGACTTGCCATCTTGCCAAGATGGCGCCCAAAATCGGTATTTTGTAAATATCTCGAAAATTATGCGTTTTTCGCAAAAATTTGAAGAGAGCATAAAATTTCCTATAAAAAAGGTTGCACGAAAATTTTCGCTAAAGTCAACCGTTTAGGCACAAAATCCCTGGAAATTTCACAATTTTGCGTAAAGTGTGATATACATATAGTCGATTTTCCGAAGTCAAATGTCGATTAGTGTTCACTAAAACTAGTTTTAGTCTAGTTTCTTCAATTTTATCATGAAACAGTGGCGTATCATTAATTCGCTCATTAATAATTTATGAATAATTAATTGTCGTGCTGGACAGCATTCATTGTTAACTTACCATCAGGTTCAGCATTGGTCTGGTTGTACCAAATATGCCGAAGAATGGGGTTGGAAGAAAATAAAAACAGGCATTACTCCAGTCACAACGTTGAAAGATCCAGCTCCAAAATCCCTATTGGCATTTTTATCCTGTAAATGCAAAACCAACAACTGTGGTAAAGCCTGCGGATGCAGAAAAGCAGGATTAAAATGTTCATTGATTTGTGCATACTGCAATGGGAAATCCTGTGACAACGTCACTGAAGTCTCTAAAGTGAATACTCCACGAATCCGATGAAGAGGAGTTGGACTTGCCAGTATATATTCCTCTGGCGGCTAAAGATGAAGAGTTGGACGTATTGAGAGACCACCCTGATGAGCCCAGCACAGCAGACACGATCGACTTTGACAGCAATGAGTGAGATCCGTCGGGCTTGTGCAGATAAGTTAAAGTTTTTAATCTACCTAGTGGAGTAGGCCTCCAGAGAGACCACGTTAAAATAAACGCGCCATGTACTTTACCTCTTGGGTGGTGTGGAAACAAGTACACATTTTCAATAATTAAAATTAATTATTCATAAATTAATGAGCGAATTAATAATACGCCACTGTTTCATGACAAAATTGAAGAAACTAAACTAAAACTAGTTTTAGTGAACCCTAATCGACATTTGATTTCGGAAAATCGACTACCTATACATAATAAGAGTATATCATACTTTACGCAAAATTGTAAAATTTCCAGCGATTCTGTGCCTAAACGGTTGACTTTAGCAAAAATTTTCCTAAAACCTTTTTTATAGGAAATTTTATTCTCTTTAATTTTCGCGAAAAACGCACAGTTTTCGAGATATTCACAAAATACCGGCGCCGGCGGCAAGTCTGGAAATGTGCATTTTATGGATTTTAGTTAGGGACCCCAAAACCTATAAACCTGCAAAGTTGCAAAACTTTCGGACTTTTTTCCAAGCAAAAATTCCCAATGAATTTGATGCATAAATTCTTTAGCATATTATCCAATCTTAAAAAAATTATTTGTGTCTTGGTGGCAAAATTTCAGTATATTTACTCACATGCATCCAGAATACGTCACATTCGCATTCTCTGGTCACTTCATTGCACACTCCATGTCCAGAACAGTTGTTCTGGCAAATCGCGGTTTGCAATTTCGATACAGAAAATCCAAGAAGACTTGCGTCCACTTGAAGCTTTCTTCTTAAATTCTTCACCACAGTATTGGCCGAGACTGGAACACCAGTGACATCGTCCAGATAAAACGTCAGTTTCACCTTTCCACTACCAGCTTCAGGTTCCACATTCCTAACCTAAATGCCAGTAATATTCCAGATATTGCTTAAAAATGGTTTAATTCAAATATTTACCTGAAGCTTACAGCCATCAGTAACAAGAAGTGTTAATTTAGCTTTCAAAATGTTATACTGAGCTTCCGTCAAATATTTAGCGTCCACATTAACTGTCAAGTCCACCAAATAAAATAATTTTGGATCATTTTTTACAATGACAGTGACAGTATCCATGTCACTTAGGCCTTGTTGATCATACACTGTTAAGTTGAATATGTATGTGCCAACAGAAACATCTGTCACTACTAGTATAGGAGATTCATCTGAATGCTCAACGATTTTTCCAACTGCCAATGATTTATCGTCTCTTGTCCATTGCCATTTTACAATTTCCCAATCGTCTTTCGAGTTAGAACCGTTTATTGTTAATCCATTTAATGGCAGTTCTACAGTGATATCTGGGCCTGCATCGGCGGTAGGTTTTTCATTTTGATCTAAAATAAATTAGGCTCTGCATATAACTTATCTTAATTGATATATTATTATTAAAAATAACGATGTATAGCACTACAAGAAATTTAATACAATTATTGTAATTTAAAAACAAAACATCCCTATATACCCGGTGTCCCACTTAAGATGGATACAAGTCAATATCTTGGTTGTTTGTTGAGCGATCTTTTTCATTTTTGGCAGGAGGCTGTATAGCTATAAGACGTACATTTTGCCCAGAGTAAGAAATGCGATACCTCATAGACGTACGTTTTAATGGGGTTTGATATTTTTCGAGTCAAGAGTAAACTACCCTTAGGACAGTATTTATTTCAAATCTGATAAATTATATTGAATCCTAAAAAATGTCTATACCTATGTGGCGGATTCATCTCTCCAAAAAAATCCTTTATGGGTTTTTCGCCACTGCACTGCAAAAAAAATCTACAAAATAAGATAGTTATTTTTTGTAAACACTTCTGCGTTAAACCTAAACGGACGCTGCTTGTCAGAAGTTATGTTTACAGTAATAAAAATTTGCCTAACAAAGAAAAAAATGCTTAACGTTTCGGAAAGTTTTCTCTTTCCGTCGACGGAAGCAAAAAAAATATAAAGAATAAAGAAAAAAACTATTTAAAATATTTAAATTGAACTATTCGAGAAAACTTTACTTTTTAAAACAGATACGTCTACAAGAAACCGTTGACGTTCAACAGAACGTCAACGATTTCTTGTCATTTTAACAAAAATGACATTATTATTATTTTAACAGATATAAAATAATAATAATGTCATTTTAACAGAACGTCAACGGTTTCTTGTAGACGTATCTGTTTTAAAAAGAAAAGTGTATTTTTTTGCTTCCGACGACGGAAAGAGAAAACTTTCCGAAACGTTAAGCATTTTTTTCTTTGTTAGGCAAATTGTTATTACATAACTTCTGACAAGCAGAGTCCGTTTAGGTTTAACGCCAGAAGTGTTTACAAAAAATAACTAATTTATTTTGTAGATTTTTCTTGCAGTGCAGTGGCGAAAAAACCATAAAGGATTTTATATTGAATCCTCCTTACCTAAGATACTTAAATTCTAATTTTGATAAATATTGATACAGGGTGTGTCATTAAAATAAGACATTTTTATTTTTATTATTATTTTTTTAAGTACTTACGACGCCACTGGATAAACAACTGGTTGATTATCAATAACCAATTATATCTAATTATCAATTAATAATCGATGGTGGTTTCGTCGAAGATGTTGATTTTTAGTTCGTTTTAGTTTTATAAATCTTTGTTTAGAGCATATTTTTTCAAAGTTAATTGTGATTGTTTTAAGGAACTATTTGAATTTTTTAAAATAAATCTCAATAAAACGAATAAAAATCATTATTAAGATTCCATTGAAAACTGGGGTTTTAAATTATTTTGTAACTCATTTTATTCATTTATATTGTATTAGAAAACTTAAAAAACAATTTTTTAAAGTAAACAAAATAAATTGAAAATATTTAGTTTTTTTGTATCGTATCTTAATTATTATGGAAGCTATCTGAAAACTTAAATTGATTATTAATTGATAATAAACCAGTTGTTTATCCAGTGGCGTCGTAAGTACTTAAAAAAATAATAATAAAAGTAAAAATGACTTATTTTAATCACACACCCTGTATCAATATTTATCAAAATTAGAACTTAAGTAACTTGGGTAAGGAGGATTCAATATAATTTATCAGATTTGAAATAAATACTGTCCTAAGGGTAGTTTACTCTTTGATTCGAAAAATATCAAACCCCATTAAAACGTACGTCTATGAGGTATCGCGTTTCTTACCCTGGGCAAAATGTACGTCTTATAGCCATACAGCCTCTTGCCAAAAATGAAAAAGGTCAACAAACAATCAAGATATTGGCTTGTATCCATCGTAAGTGGTGTATAAATAATTAAAGATTATTTCTATGCAGAGTTTTGCAAACTTGTCCATTAACATTGATTTTTAGTAGCTATTGACTCAGCTGTATGGATAGTTGAAGATATAAGAAGATGCCCAACTTTATGGACGATTTCGTGGTCCAAAATAGGTCGAGATGTAGCTGGCGTTACCGTCAGGTTAGGTTAGGTTATTTGTAGTGTAGAAGAATTCAGGTTAGCTTATAACTACTTATTAACAATTGTAAACAAATCCCATATAAGCTTAAAGAAAAGAAAAAAAAATGTTTAATATCTTACTTTGGTTAACTATGACATAGACAATGTCATTGGCAACATTATTGTTATCATCAGTGACACTGATCTTCAAAGTATACGTTCCTTTAGTAAGCCCTGTCACGTTTGTCTTACTCATGTTTGCATTGACAAAAGTTACAGTAGAAGGACCTTCTACTTGCTCCCAATTGAATTTTATTATTTTATTATCGTCTGTACTATTAGATGCATCAACAACTGCCCAAGTTTGAGGTAAACTTAAATAATATTACTCATATATTCATTATAAAATACATTTAGTAATGTACCTACCTTATTGTAACATTTTCTCCTGCTTCTGCTATAGGTGGTTTATTAGTTGGTGGTTTTACAAAAACATGAACTTCTGCAGTACTGGACTGGTTGGCACTATCAGTAACTTTCAAGGTAAATGTATACATGCCTTAAAAAAATCATAAAGAATAAGTTTTCAAGAATAAAATGAACTGATTGTAAACTATTACTATAAGTTAGTCTGTACTATTACTAACAAGATACACGGTTTATACTTTATACTATATATTATACTATATACTAAGTGCTGGCAAAGGTTAGCTTTAGGTCGAGATTTCCATATGTAAGAAGAGTACAATGCGTTTATAATGTACTGAACAAAGAGAAAACAGTAAAAACGTTGCTAAACGTATGAAATAAACCGAGAAACTGTGCACGTCTCGTGATACTTTATTTGCTTATTTATTAACGAGTCGTTGTAATTTTCCGTATAGCTTGTAAATTGTTACAAAAAGTGCAAGCTAGAAACACTTGCACTTTTGGTAAAAATAAGTGGAATTGAGTTGGTGTTCGACAGTGGTCGCGCTATTAGAACCCTGAATTCAAAAATCGATATCTCCAAATCCATTAGAAATAATTAATTTTAGTTTTTTTACAAAAATCTATATCTAATGATTTTATCTAGTTATCTTTTCGAAAAAAAGTCTTTTACAAATAAGCGGTTTGCGATCGTGATCGTTTACCACAAGTGCACTTTACTTGATATGGCAACGCCGCAACAGCACACCGTCGCATTTCTCTCACTGACTTAATAAGATCCCTATGCGATTTACTTCCACACGTGTAAATACCGACCTAAAAGTAAAAGTTGCCAGCATGGTATACTATATAGAGGTATATAATAATTGTATTTTATTCCAATCCACTACTAATATATTATGACCGATATTTTATATCGTTTCTATGACTGATAATAAAGAAAATGTATTTATCTACTGAAGTTTTTGTTCTATGTAGTGTATGAAAAACACACCATAAACAACATGAAATTACCTTACAGAAAAGACTATTAATGACATTTGTTATTTCAAAAGTAACTTGACGCCATTTTTTTCGGTAATACATACTTATAATCGTACAAAATTTTTATAAACAATATAACTGATAAATTATAAAAAACGCCTTTGATACTTTTTTTTAGCAATAAACATTTTTATAATAAATTCTGTCTATTTTTATGTATTTTTTGCCTATTAAAACAGACTAAATATCAATCTTATATTATTATCATATTGAGTTCAATTAATGTTTTATCTATAAAAAAATATACCATAAATACATTACCTTCTTGCAAGTTTGATAGCTGCAAATATGGCGTTCTAGTATTCTGCATATCGACGGTTTTTTGCGCATCATCAGCTGACTTAGTCCATTCCCAAGTTTTAATAGCATGATCATCAATACTCAAACTACCATTCAAAGTAATGTTATTGTGCGGCAGGTATATAATTTTATCTTCACCTACAAGAGCATTTTCAAATTTAAAAAAAAACTTTTTCCTGTATAAAAATAGTCACCAACCTGCATTAGCTTCTGGAGGGTAATCTGTTCCAGCAAGAACAGTAATATTAGCTACCCCAGTACTGCTAGCTTTATCTGTATCAGTAACAGTCAACTTAAAAGTGTAGTTCCCTGGTATAGTCAAATCGTTTAATTGTAACGTGGGACTTTCCTTCAATTGGGGCCCATAACCTTAGAATGAGAATATTAATATGGTACAATTTTTTAAAAATAATAAAAAAATGATATGCAATACCTAATGGGCCCTCTTGAAGATCCCAATGCCATGAAATAATACCATCATCATCTTTACTAGACGAAGCATCCAAAACAGCTGCAGCATTAGGCTGTTTTATGGTCTGGTTGGCTGGAGTAATAACAATTTGTGGAGGCTCATTTATACGCGCTTCAGGTAAAACTGTTACATTTACAAAATTTTCTCCATAAGCCGTTGGTGTAGAAACACTAACCTGCATATTTCAGATTTCATATAAAAAAAATCAAAATTTTTTGCTTTATACAATTTTTTTAAGCTGAAGGAAGTACCCTTTTTTCGCTAAATTAGAAACAAATTATCAGTATTTTATCTATGAATAACTGAGTTCAATTTATTAAGGTTGACAATACGTGGAACATTCAGTGGAACGGTTTTGTAATCGCTGTGCGCTCCTTATTAGTATTTCTATATTTTAGGTGATTTAGTAGTGTTGGGAATAATCGGATGATTTCAATCCTCAAGTATTTATCCTCGAGGATTCTAATAATCGGACGATCATCCGAGGAATTCTCGGTCATAAAATTTTATCGATCGATCGATACCCGAATAATGTTGGGTGTATTTTGCTTGCTGTTTGTTCACACATTGTTATATAGCATGTAGGTACCTGAGAAACCTGAATTATATTCTAACAAAAATAAATACACAATTACCTATGTATAAATATGTATTTTAAATAGGTTTTTTCATAGATTTTTTTTATTAATTTTTATAAAATTTTCATAGGATGTACTTAAGAACATGCTTATTTTGTTTCTTTAACTCTTATTTTGAGATTTCTCTGGCAAATATTTCAGGTTTCAGGTCAGGAAACGATTTCAACGATTTCAGTATAAACTGATTTGTATTTTCGATTCAGCATTGTCGCATGTGTTAGTTGTGTGCCGAGTAATCCTCGAGGGTTGACAAAAATCCTCGAGACATACCGAGGATTTGAATAATCGAGTGACCGAGTATTTTTCATTCGAGTGATCCCATCACTACTATTTAGACTTATATTTAGTCTATTAAGCACTTCTATTAGGCTATTAGCCGTTATAAACAAGGCTATTAGACAAGTATTTTGTTTTTTTGTTCCCTAGCTAATAATTACCCAGATTTAGATTATTTCTCGATGTATCCCTGGCTTCATTCAATGCCAAATTGAGGTATGTTTTGGGTGGTATGTGAATAGGTGTAATGTAAATATAAATAATTATAAAACTTGCCGGCAATTGTTGTTGCCCTATCAGTGATGGGCGATGGGTAAATATCCAATGGGTATAGTAAAGAAATTTGGGTATATACCTACGTAGTATATATCTAGAAGATGTAGGGTATATACCCGTTGAGAGAACAACATTTCATAGTAACCCCTTGTAAAATTCGATTATTCGCCTAACTTAAATTGAACTCTCTACTAAAGGTTGGTTGGTTGGTAGACACCAAGGATACTATAGAACATACGACACATTTGAATTTGATTTGAAATTTTGTGGATTTGTCAGTCTTTACGGAGCTTATTTTATGTTATTTATTATTTATTCTACTACTGATAGTTCTTAGTAGATCTAGATGGAAATTGTGGCAGAACTTAAATTAATAGTGACACTATCGCGATTTATCGAAAAAGACTCGATAAAGATCTCGACAAAAATCGAGTAAAATAATGGAACAACTTTTCGCAGTAGTGACTATATAATATACATACGTGTAGTAAACTTAAAAAACTTAAAACGTAAAAAATTTATGAAATTCATTTAAATTAACTAATTGTATATTTTTTCTTGCATTTTTGCTTTTATTTACTACTTGTCAAAGATTAGATGTCAAAGAATTTAGATACGTCAATTTGACTTACCTGCTTCAGTAGCGTATCGGATGTTTATGGTTATAAATAATTATTATAACTTATCTATTTTTATTAGAATTTTATATTTTTATAACAATTTTAATAACTACCAACATTATTTATTCACAACGTAAAATAATAAAAAAATTATTGAGTCTACCCCACGTCTACCCCACATCATAGTTTTATGGTGGGTTCATGCTTCCGATCTTAGCCCTAACACTAACATTAGTCCTAACCCCAAGAATATGAATCAACTTTAACGAACGCTAGCGTTCATGCCCTCATTGTATCGGTCCTAACATTAGCCTTAGTCCTAACAGGTTGGGATATTTTATATTCTTAGGGCTAATGCTAATTCAAAACTGAATCACGCATGCTCAAAGCTAGGGGTTTTAAGAATTCTCGAAATAATATCTGACATGTTGAATTTGACGGTTTATAAATGCTAATAAATCATATATTTTTTGGTCTAGAAAGTATTAATGTAAAAATTCGTTTCCCTAGTATTAGAAATAATAAAAATAATTGTAAATTTAGGTTAGTTCAAAACATATGTTTTATATGAGCGCAAGCGCTTACGAGAATATTGATTATTTTCTTAAGACAAGTAGGAGAAGTATGAACGGCCTTTCCTTAAGTTCTCAAGGTTAATTTCTTAGTGTTAATGTTAAGGTTAAGGTTAGGACTAATACTCGAAGTATGAACCCACCTTTACATTTTTTAAATAAAATTAGAACGGCACTGATAAACCGGAATTTAAGTCGGCCATATTTGAGGCCCATCGCGGTGGACCTAAGATTTTTGATATGCTCCTTCCTTAGTCTTCTTATTCAAAGAGGTCATACGAAAACAAAATATTTAAAAGTGCTTATACATTTTATTCCAAAGCCAAATTATGTTGAAGATTGCCAAAGGTATGTACTTTTCTACTGTAGGTATATTATTTGTTAAAATCCTTTGTGCCTTTGTTCTGCAGATATCAAACTTTCACTTTTTTCAAATATTGATATATTGAATGATGTATATCTTTTGAGTTAGCAATAGTTACCAATACAGGTAATCAGAGTCACAAGGAGTTCAAGCTCAGGTGAATGCCCAAAGTGGTGAATGCCGAAAAATTTCATTTCAATCGGATAGGATAAAAACGAAACAAAGACTCGTTAAAGGGTTAATTGAAGAGCATTCAGAAGAAGAATTGGGTTTTGCAAGTACTATGTACTTTAGGGCTAGTGGGATTAAGGATGCTGCTGTAATTGTTGAAACCTTAACTCCATCGAAAAGTACTGTGTTTAAAAAATTAGTAGTTGCCCATACACGGAAATGCCCGGCCTTCGGACTTGGCCTTGAGGCCGGGGCTTTTTTTAAGTTGTTAATAAATAAATAAATTTAACCATATGGTTGCTATATTTTAGACCCTTTACTACGACGTTCTTAGATTTTAAGTCCCAAACAACGCTCCTGAGATTTTGTCCCGCTAGAATAACTATCCGCCGCACTGTGGAGCGCGTGGTCCCTGCGTGACGTAAGCATCCACGGCGACTACGACAGCGGTGATTTTACGCTATCGAACAGTCCTTTAGAATATATACAGTCCTTGGGTAGACACCTCAAAAAAATTCTCTCCAAGAATGAACTCTTAATTTTAATAGGAAGGTCCTCCGCCTTTAATTTTTCTATTTTTTTTTATCAAAAAGTACTAAAAAAAAATAAAAAAATACAATAATATTTTTATGAATAGCTTTTAAACGGTTAATTAAATCAACTAATTATAAGAAACCATTTTTTTAGAGCAGTGAATTTCCTATAAAACCATGAGTTCCGCGCATCATAATGATTTTTTGTTAACAAGTTATAAAATTCATAAGAAAAAAGAAAACTACCTTAACATAATCAAACTACAACATTTAATAACGTTCGAACGGCGAGGTTTACAAAAAATTTATAAGAGACCTTTTTTGTAGAGAATTCAATTTCCTACAAATATATGAAAAGGAATATTTTTTCCAAATAGTAGATACCGAGATATGAATTTTTCTTTCTAATAATAGGGGAAAAAATAGAAAACTGAAAGGCGGAGAACCGTCCTATAAAAATAGTCGATTTTTTGACCCACCCTAGTAAATATCTTATGTCATATATTAATTAATAAACAATATACAGAATACAGAAAGCAATTCTTACAAACCTAATGATTATCATTTGCTATTAAAATTATGACCAATCTCTAGTAAACTGGTTAATTTTCATTTAAATTTTAAATAACCCTTAATAATCCAAACTCTATGAACATAGTACATCAACACGTTCTTAATTCAGACTGGTTTACACAATTTAGTACACAATTATTTATACAGATCTATTATTTGACACATACTAAGTAAATTTTTAAGATACCTACCTTAAATTCATATGTGCCTTCTGAGAGTTTTTCTAGATGCAACTGTGCTTCACTTTGATGTTTGACAGCTGTACTGCCATCTGGTTGGTGTAAAGAAGTCCATTCATATTGATATTTATTTTCAGCATCCTCTTCTTGAAGAGTTTTCGCAACTAGAGTCACTTCATCTTCTGGCAGTTTTACCTAAAACACACGTTCCTATTTAGATAGAGAAAAATCCAGATTAAAAATTTACCTCCTTAGATTCAACCAATACTGTTAAATGTTTTCGAGTAACTGGTGCTGACTTATTAGTTATGTCTAAAATTCGTTCTGTTATGATATCTTGTAGTCCATCTTTTAAATCTTCCAACACACAGAGACCATCTTCTTGTCGAATATATCCAGGTTTGCATTCACAAACACCTATAAAAATTGTATTAAAAAACAAATAATAATTTAAAAAATTACAAATACCACTTCTTGATTGTTCTCGTTTTTGAACACATATCTCATCAGGTAATGGACATGAGTTATCTACACCAACTTCACAACTTATATCATATGCAAAATTATCAAATAAATCACTTTCAAGATTTTTATATGCATTTTCAAATCTGGTTCTATCAGTTAATATATTGTACATCTCTCTATCCCTAACTGAATCTAAAAAAATATGTATTATTTTTTTCCGTAAGCTGAATTTGTAGTATTCATCAATATAAATATTATTAAAACATTTATATCAAAATTACAGATAAACTTTATATATCTCAGTTATAGTATTTTAATATTACCTTGCGATTCAAGAACATAACTCCAGCTGTCATCATCTGTAGGTTTTACAAGAACCATTTGAACATGGTCTATAGTTTCTGGATTAGTGTTCAAAGTAGGTATACACAATTCATTACTATTGCAATTTATATGGTAACATTTATCATCGGTCAAAAATGCAACATGGCATAAAGGTTTTACACAACATTTAAGTACACAAGGCTTTAAACTACGAACGTCTGTTATCTCTTCGTAAACCCCTAATAAAACATAATACATTATAAATGTAATGTAACAGCGACTTGAAGTCTTGTAATAGCGATATTAATTACCTGCAGATATGTTTCCTCTTGGGACATAACCCTTAAATAATTTAGGATAAAGTTTTGGGCAATCCGACTTAACAGAGTTTGCAGGAAATGAATGAATAGCACTGAGGGAACTTAGAATAGTAACCAAATAATAAATGAACATTATTGCCTTAATATATACCAGCAGGATGAGAAAAAATCAAGTAAATATTCTTAATTGAACTTAAATGTTCGTTTCTGTACATTAAAATATATTCCACATGATAACGTAAAACAATCGTATCAGCAGTTATGTGGGTGTTTACAACTTGCGTTCAGAGGAAAATTACTGTTATCTTTATCAGTCTAAGCTCTGGTCCAACTTTTAAATGTTACACTAATCAAAGAATTAGCAAATAAACTCATTAGATTAGCCACCTATGTTAGCCACCCTTTTTCAGAGCCCTTTTATAAATTTGGTCGATTTGATTTGTCAAATTGACAAGGACCAAGGACAGAAGTTGACAGAACAGAAGCAGAATTTGACATTTAACAGGTGACAAAAAAAATCGTCCTTGAAGAAAAGACAGTCACATGTATATATGGTTGCCTGGTAAACAGGCGTAAAGATATATGTATACAAGGACTATTATTTACATTAGAAAAAATAAATATTTAATTTGGTTTATTTATCTTTTAAATAACCTACAGCCAGTATTGTGATATAGTGATATGGTTTAAGACCAATTAAACTTTCTATGTTATTTTAATTTGATATAACCATTTATTGATATTTCATAAGTGCTTTTTTTAAAGATTACCAATTTTATTGTAAGTATGTTAGGTTTATCTTTTTAATTCACCCCTGGCATGGGATTAAACTTTTAAGTCGTATCAACTATTTTACATTTTTATTAGAAGTATATTAATTACGCTTAATGCCGATAACGTTTATATAGATAATTATATAATTTAAATTTATTGTTTTGTTTGAGTTGAAAATTAAAGAATCATTAACTACAAGATGTCAAACTGTAAGAGAAATTTGTCTCCTAATATTCAGAATTTGAAATCCTTAGGCAAGTGTATTTTTGTTTGAGAGATAATCAAAATGGTTATGTAATATTTAATTATTACCCAATGTTATTTCAGATAATTGGTAATATAAGCACAGGTAAATACCCTTTTAATATGAACATTTTTTAGAAAGCAAATATCAAAGCATCATTAAACAAGCTACAGAAGCCAGGGAAAACGCTTATTGCCCTTATAGCAATTTTAAAGTTGGATCAGCAGTTCTATGTGCTGATGGGTCAGTTACAGCAGGCTGCAATATTGAAAATAGTGCCTTCCCTGTTGGCATATGTGCTGAAAGGTAATATTTTTTCTTAAAGTTAACTTGCATACATTTTTTTCTTGATTTAGATGTGCATATAGTAAAGCGATAAGTCAAGGAAAAAGACAATTTGAAGCTGTGGCTGTTGTCGCCTCTCAAAAGGACCACTTTACAATGCCCTGCGGAGCATGTCGTCAATTTATGTCTGAATTTGGAAATGTAGACGTTTTTATTTCTAGACCTGGGCATGAGGATGTATTGGTTACTAATCTAAATGAAATTTTACCTTTTCAGTTCCAAACTACGGACAAAACTTTTGAATGATATATTTGCATGACTATGACATGAAATAAAATAAAAAAAAAGAAATGTATGTATATATTTTGTCATGTTTTAACAGTATTTTACAAGATTTAAATTAATTTCCAGTAATATAAATTAAGATCTCCAACTATGTAATAATAATATTGCATATATAAAAAATCTACAATATAATTTTTTAACTTATACTAATCAATATTAATAAAAATATACATCATTAAAGTAAACATTTTTTGATATCAGTCTATTTGCTTTTTACCTATTTTTATGGGTGAATAATAATAATCTTAACATTGTAGCAGAACGTGTTTTTGTATATATCACTATTAAAAGCTGTAATTATATATAATCTCTAATTTGTACAATAAAAAAGCTTGGTCAGAATATGTTTTCTATTACTTTTAGAAATTGTAAGCTCTTCTCAACATTCTAAGGTAGCAGTGATTTTCTTAGTTTTATGATTTAAATGAAGCACAGGAATTGCTGTAAATAGCTAGGAAACATTACATCTATCATTCCTAGATGTTCTTGAAGCAGTTGTTGCTTGTGCTTCAGCACTTTGGAGCTGTCTTGCTAAGGCTAAATCTAATTCTTCCTGTGTTTTCTTATTGCAAGGACCATTGTCCTGCATTGAGAGTGCTAAAGCCTTTGCTAATGCTTCATCTTCACTTAATGAACCTTGGATAGTTTCAGAAACTGTATGATTTGGTTGCGCATCAAAAATCCATTTTCTTTTAGCACCCCTTCCTTCACATGTATGGTCTGCAGGATGGCGATGCTTTAAACAAAAATTTAATGCACACTCATTACAAATCACTGGAATAACTTCCTTATTCTTGCACCTCTTATAAGAGCACTTATTTGTAAAAACTCGTCGTCTTGATTTTGCTGGATCACTTTGACAGTCAGAATCGATGTGGGAACCTACCACATAATCAGGATGTTGACCTTTTTGTACAGGTATTGGAATGTTACACAATGGACATACTGGCACTTGGTTGTCTTTTTGATAAGCTCTTTTGCAGTTATGTGTAGTGTATCTAAAATGTTCATCACAGAACAACAAATTGCAGGCATCACATTTTATCGGTAGAAAGTCTAGCTTATTGCAGTTTAATTTTGAGCAATGTTTTCCTAAATGAGGCAATTCCATATTTTAAAATCACATTAATCACTCTAAAGACGTAGTAGCACTTATAATCTATTTCTTGACTAACTAGACAATTTGACAATAACTGATTAATGAAAAATATGTTCTTCGTATTTATAGTTTCAAAATAGTTCTTGATAATTCTAGTACGACCGATGACAAAGTAATTTGCAAATGTGTGATTTTTCGTTAGTATATTCTGTGGTGTGATTTATTTACTAAAAATTTGTTTGTCATGTCATGATATGACATCTAAATGTCAGTTGTCAGTTGCTTGTCAGCATATTTTGGAATTATTTGATCATATATAAAATGTATGTACATATATGATCTAGTAGTAAGAGCGTATCAACACGTATCAATATCCGATATCAGATACTATCGATAATGCAAAATCAGATAAAAAAATTACCTTTTATTCTTGTTATGTGGTAAAAGGAAAAGGTAAAAAAAATGATTCAATATATGGAATTATAACATATATTTTAATAACAATTTATTTTAATATATTTATATATTTAATTATTTGTACAGATTTATTCCTCTGATATATTTTGAATATTGTTATGCAAAACTTCATCTTTTAAAGTGCTTTTGTGGCAGATATCTCCAATAAAAGTTTGAGGGATATCAGTGCCAAAATATACCTTCGTATTGCTTGCTAGAGAGCTATATTTTTTTAATTCAATATATTCTTTGGTAAAGAGTAATTTATTGACTTCTGCTTGTTGTTTCATTTTATAGAATTCAGCATCAGCTTGAGCTTTTTCTCTTGCTAAATGCATCTCATCTTCAATTTGAGAAATATGTTGCAAAGATTCCTTTTCCATAATTTTCTGTTCAAACTGAATTTTTGCAACTTGTGCCTCCTTCTCAGCTTCAATTAATGCTCGTTTCCTATCAGTTTCAGCATCTTTTTCTACCACCTAAACATTAATGTGTGTATATTTTAAATACAATATAATGTTTAATGTTCATTTACCTTCTGATGCTCAATGGATATAAGTAGTTTAGTTTTTTCTCCCTCCATTAGTTCATAATTTTTCCTAATAGGTTCTGGAATTTTTGGTTTTGTAACTCTAACAGCTTGAATTATTAATCCAGGGGCCATTTCTAACAAGTCTCTTTGTAAAGCCTATAAAATGATGTAAACAAATAATTTTCTCCCATGTTCATTTCTCTTACAAAATATATTTGTTACCTGTTTTAGATTTTCATCAATTTGATCAAAAAGATTAATATATACCTCATGTAAATTGTGTATACTACAAAACTGATTAAGCTCATGATGTACTTTATTAAAAATTAATGTTTTATCATAATCAGCAGTATAATTTCTAACAATATCCATGACTGCAAAAAAATGTTATAACAGTATAGCTTAAAAAATCAGTAGACAGCATAAAAATATTAAACTTATAAATATAAAATAATAAGAAATGAACAATATTTACCACTGTTAATATTTAAATAGTTTACTACTTCAATTCGATCAAAATATATCATGACACCACCACTAGTTCCACATGGAACATTTGTGACTTCATCTGTTTGTAAAGTTACCTAAAAAATAAAATATTTAAACATTCTTATGGATAATCTAGAGACAAATAATTTAAAATCTGGGTAATATACATCTAATGTTTCTGAAAATAAGGTGTAAATAATTACTTGAACACTTTTATAAGATGTAATAATTGGAATCATCATATGGTATCCAGGATGAGTCATTGATGGTAATAATGCACCACCCTATAAAATTGTAATTCATTTAAGTAATCTATTTTTAACAAACATTTAAGCAACTTACTCGAAAGTATATACCAACATGGCCCTCTTCAATTTTGTGTAGAGAATAATTAAATATTAAAAATATGGTTGTTAAAACACTTCCAATAATAGCGTGCTCAAATAAAGCGTTATAACTTATCAGCGGCATAATGCTTGAATAATAATGAATAAGAATTTTACATGTTATTTAGATATAAATTCATTCACTGTTTTACTGAAATAGTATCGAAAATCATTAAAACCACGTCAACATGTGTAAATCAATAATAACACATAAAAGTACTGTATATTTTTTCTTGATAATTATAGACAAAAAGGATAGTACGTCGGAGCACGCCGAACTCCTAATAAATCCTGTGAATAAATCTTTGATAATGAAAATTGCAAAAAAGTAAACAAAAAAGATAGGTTATGTTTGTGTACAAACGTCAAACGTCATTGTGTTGCCATCACAGGTTGCCCACGGTTGCCATATCACTGCAAATATCACATCAAATCGAATTAAACTAACAGAACATAAACACAATCGCGCTTAAAATATCAGTTTGATAAAGCAAAATAAAAATCAAAAATTACACAATTTAATATTTAACTTTTGAAGTGTGTTTTGAACCTCTTTGGTTTTGAAGCAGAAAATATACGGTTAGCGAAGACAAAAAAGTGCAAAAACTCTCTTTACTACAAAACTATAGGAGAAACAACTCCGTGCATTAAAAAATGGTCAAAAAAAGGGAAGAATTAGGATGGCGCTGCTGTAGCAAAAACCTAAAATATAAGACATGCGCCGAACATTTTTAGAACAGCTGATTCAAAAGACATAAATATTTGACGTGAATCATATACGAGAAGCCGCAGGTTTCAAAAAAATACAAATTTATTTTTATGTCACATGAAATAAATTACAGATTTTTATTCAGCAGCAATAGACTAGGCTCTTTTTTTATTGCTCTCATAAGTTATTTCGCAAATGTCATTCAAGACGACGAAAACATTATTCTGATCGTTTTAGCTTAAAATTAATGTTAATTATAATTAAGAAAAAAAATTATTTAAGGTAATAATTGGTGATGGGTTTAAAATAAATATAATGCAGCTTTAAAATAACTTCATACCCACATTTATTTAGTATAAAAGTAAGTCAACATGTGGTTTTATTATCAATTATTCAGAAGCAATAGACTGAGCCTCTTTTTTATTTTTTCTCATAAGTTATTTCTGTAAATCTCATTCAAGATGAAAAAGCTTTAGTTTGAAATTAATATTAATAATAATTAGGAAAACTTTATTAAAAGTTTAATTGATGATATGGGATTTAAATAAATATAATGCAGGTCTAAAATAACGTAACACACTTTATTTAGTATAAAAATTAAGCCAATATAATATAATTTTATACTGTACAAGTATTTATTTACGTTTTGCCCCATCGTAGTTGCCATTCATTCAGAATAGTGGATTTTAAATGTTCGATAGTAGGATGGTTTAACTACCTTAATATCAACTACTTCTAGACAAGAATGGTGTGCAGTATTATCTTCTTTTTCACTCCCAGCTATTCCAACATGGCTTGAAACGTGAAATAATATAATTTTATAGCCCTTCCAGATGCTCATGTCTTCCTTGTAGTTCACCCAATAGAATCGTTCTCGCAGCTTCCTCTCAAGTTGGTAGTTGCTATTCATTCAGAATAGTGGATTTTAAATATATTTGGTAGTCGGATGGTTTAACTATCGTAACAATAACTACTTTTAATAATTCTTTTTCTCAATTCTTTGCACTATAATTTGCATCCAACGTATTGTAATATTTTCCTTTGAATTTCGTTTCCTATTGTCCCATGGCTTGAGACGTAATGTTATAGCCCTTCCAGATCCTCATGTATATGTCCCTTTTCCTTGTAGTCCACCCAATTGAACCTTTCTCTTAGCTTCCTCTCAAGTTGGTAGTTGCCATTCATTAAGAATAGTGGATTTTAAACATGTTTCGTACTCGGATGATCGGTTAACTACTGTAACATCATAAATAAATTGTATACCAACACATAATGGCCAAACTTCAACAGACTTTAATATTCATAAACCTCATCAGAAGAAAATATTTTTTGATCCAAAGTTTTTTTTTGTTATTAGAATAAATTACCTGCAATTTGTTAATTCATTACAACATTGAATAAAAGATGCAAAGTGTTTATACATACTATAATAGATAAATCTTCATTTAAAATTATGTGATAGATTGCTTGCTTGTAGGATCTAGACTCATAAACTCAATAATTTCTTTTATTGATATAACCAATAAAGTGGTAATGATGAAATTTTGTTTTTGATTTGAGCAGTAGGGTCCATTATTTCCATTATTTGATGCTGTTATTGCTCTACAAAATGTTGATCTTTATCAAGGGATGTTTATGTGTATAATATTATTATTTATGTGTATAATAATACTGTATGATCGAAAAAACACGGCGTCCAGTGGGCTTGGAAATGAACATCTCGATGACATTCTCCATATCATTTTACATATAAAATGACAGCAATCTTCATTTCATAGGCATCGCTGACGCCGTTTTTTATTCGATCGATCAAATTGTACTTACGTGTGTAATATTCATTTAATGGTTCCTGTTTTAGTTGCTGGTGTTCATATTTTGGTTTTTTATTGTGTTGTTGCTCTACAAAATGTTAATATTTATTGTATAACATTACTTTTCTTTGTATAATAATACTTATGTGTATAATATTCATTTAATGGTGCCCTTCTTGCTTGTTGCTGTTGTTGCAACTCAGAATTTAAATTAACCTGAGGCAGTAGGTAGAGCTTCATCCTCCAACATTTTCCTATGTAAATACTGCAAGTGGACAGTATTTCTGATGACAATTTTATCATAAACTTTAACATCTTGTTCTTTAAAACGAAACTGCCATACCTTATCTGTAGATTTCAAAGCAATATCTAAATGCTTTTGACCATCGCTGTAATCTAATTCTTGTTTGAAAATCAATACCTAATATTATCCTGATGATTTTGATTTTTGATAGATTATTAAAATACAGCACTTACAGTTAACTATATTTCTTGAAAGTACCTACAACTTTATTTATTTCCTACTTTTATTTGTTTAAAAAAATGCCAACAATTTGTGCATGTCTGTCAAACTTTAAAGTCATTAAAAATAAATTTTATTCAGGTTGTAACTTTATAGAATGGATTGTACAAATATACTTTGTAACATGTATGTCAATAATCTTACGAAAAATACAAGGGAAAAATGTTTACTAAACTTTTGATTGACTCTAATTTTTACATTTAATACAAATAATACAATACTGAATTATAATTATGTATTTTACAGGCTTTGCCTTTGTTCTTTATTTTTCCATCAGCTATTCAACCAACTTCGCACCACACACACTTTAACCATTGTTAAATAATAAATAAAGCACAAAATATTGATAAACAATAATTATTTTATATTCTAAAAAATAAAAACAAAACTTTTTTTGGGTAATGTTTGGTTATATTTATTTTTATTCTCTTATCTATGGTTACTTTTCATTTTTTAGATTTATGCGTTTTTAGCGCCACTGTGGTCATTTGGCGAACCCTTATTCTTCCCGTTTTGTGACCACTTTTTCAATAAAAGTCCCATAAGAGTTATTTCTCCTTACCTCTACACTCCATATACAAAACACAGCTACAAAAGTGTGACAGCTGTCTTATTTCCTGCAGCTGTCGCTCTCCCTTCCATTTTGCTGCTACTGGATCTAATAAAGATTTGTTTTTCTGTCTATGTTTGGGATAAATTAGGACTTGTAATTGTTGTGTTAATAGAAAAATGTATTGAGGAGAGCTTCATAATAAACAGCGACGTACTTGTGGAGAATTTTGAACAATGGATCAAGATAATCAAGAGGGTTTTATGGAAAGACAGGGCAGGTAAAGTTGAAAAAAGAGACGTAATTATGTCTTTGAAATTGAATTATTTTATTAAAGTTTAAATTATAGAATTATATAATAATAAATAGCCAGTATGATATCTAATAATGTTTAAACATTTATTATATATTATTGTATATAGGTATGTACATGTATTTTTTTTAAATTTCTTTTTTAGTTGTCTGCTATTAAGGTGTGCGAGTCAAAATTCATTAGATGAGAGTTCCCAAAAGCATGTTTCGCAGAATTGTCAAAGGCAAATATCATATAGGGAGAGAAGACCATATAAAAACCTTTTACATACACAGAAAGCTTTTGAAATAATGAATTCTATGAGAAAGTAATATATTACTGATCACATATGAGTAGATATTAATCGATACATTTCTAGACAAAAACTGTTATGCGACGTTACATTAGTTGCTAACTCTGTAGAAATTCCTGCTCACAAGATGGTATTGGCAGCTTGTTCACCATATTTCTATGCAATGTTTTCTAGCTTTGAAGAAAGTAGACAAGACCGAATTGTTATACAGGAGGTTGATCATTACGCTTTAGAGTTACTGGTTGAATATTCTTATACTTCTGAAGTTCATGTAAAGGAATGATTGTCTAAATTTTAACTCCTGTTGATTATGAAAATTTATTAGGTTACTGAAGAAAATGTTCAAGTACTTCTTCCAGCAGCTCATTTACTGCAACTTACTGATGTTAGAGATGCGTGCTGTGATTTTTTACAATCTCAGCTGCACCCTACAAATTGTTTGGGAATAAGAGCTTTTGCAGATTTACATGGATGTCTAGATCTTTTGTCTAATGCAGAGAGTTATATTGAATTGAATTTTCCGTAAGTGAAATAGAAATTTAGTAAGCTTTTAGCTCATAATAGAATTTTCTTATTTAGGGAAGTAGTAGAATGTGAAGAATTTTTGACCTTATCTCAACAGCAAGTTTCAAAACTGATCAGCAGTGATAGACTAACAGTCCCATCTGAGGAAAAAGTATTTAGGTTTTATCTTTGTATTTAATTGGTGGATTAATTATGTTCTTTAGGTATTTGAATGTGTTATTGCTTGGGTACACCATGATGTGGAAAATCGCCAAAAGCATCTTGCTTCTCTAATGGAACATGTAAGACTTCCTCTGATGTCTCAAGACTATCTAGTCCAAAGAGTTGAAGAAGAACCACTTTTAAAAGCTGATCTACAATGCAAAGATTATTATATAGAAGCTTTAAAATTTCATTTGTTAAAAGGTGATACTAAAATTACAATCAGAACACCAAGGTAAGTTGATTTATTAGTTAGTATTTAAAATAATAAATTAATCTCTAGGACAAAGCCAAGACAACCTGTTGGACTACCTAAAGTACTGTTAGTAGTAGGTGGTCAGGCACCAAAAGCTATCAGAAGTGTAGAATGTTATGATTTTAAAGAAGAAAGATGGTACCAAGTTGCTGAGATGCCTACAAGGAGATGTAGAGCTGGTTTGGCAGTTATTGGAGGAAAAGTCTATGCAGTATGTATAGTATATTTTTCTAGAAAATACAATTAACACATTTTTCTTTTAGGTTGGCGGTTTTAATGGATCTCTCCGTGTTAAAACAGTAGATGTGTATGATGCCTCTCATGACCTCTGGACTAGCTGTGAATGCATGGAAGCAAGGAGATCTACTTTAGGAGTTGCTGTGTTGAACAACAGTATTTATGCTGTAGGTGGTTTTGATGGGTCTACAGGACTAAATACAGCTGAAGTGTTCGATCTCAACACTCAGAAGTGGAAGTCCATAGCTGCCATGTCTACTCGAAGAAGTAGTGTGGGCGTAGGAGTGCTAAATGGTTTATTATATGCTGTAAGTGTTTAAATATGATTGAATTTAATTGATTATGTGTTTGATATGTTAGGTTGGAGGGTATGACGGTGCATCTAGACAATGTTTAAGTTCTGTAGAGTGCTATAATCCTGAGACTGATAATTGGAGATCTGTACCTGATATGTGTTTTAGAAGAAGTGGTGCAGGTAAATATGGAGTCGCATGAAGTTTTTTAATATACATATATTTTTTTGAATTATCATAATTTCTATAAAAATATAACTTGATATTTTGCAATATTATTTCAATTTTGAATTGTTATTTTTTCTTTGCCAAATATATTTTATTGCATTACATTTTTCTCTATCACAAGAAACATAAGATTTTGTTTCTCTAATTAAATAGGTGTTGGCGTATTAGATGGAATTCTATATGCTGTTGGTGGTCATGATGGTCCATTAGTAAGAAAATCAGTTGAAACATATGACCCACTCAAAGATCAGGTTTGTACTTTATTACACATTTTTGGGTTTGTTTAAGTGCAAACCTAAAGTATGTACGAAAATGTATTTCAGAAAAATATTTTAACTTAGGGTGGCTCAAAAAAGTGTGAGTGGATCGGGATGATATTTTTTAAAATGAACGCCCTGTATATTATTGCATTTTTGATTTCCTTTCAGATCACTTTTCATAATCCTAAGATATGAGTAAACATATTTCGATAATTTCAGAGATATTAATAAATAAATAAAAAATCTATATTTTTTAAACTTCCTTAAAAAAATTATTATAAATACAAGAACCTGTTCTGAAATCAAAACTAACTATATTAACTATATTAGGTATTTACTTTAGATGGTCTATACTTACTTTGCTATAAATATCATAATCTTAAATCAGACAGGGTGTTCAAAATTCTATGCTAAACTTTCTAAAATATAAAATAATTTTTCTGTTTTTTTTAATGGAACACCCAGTATATTATTTTTTCAATAGATGTAGAGTTAAAAAATGAACATTTTTTGTATTTAAAGCATTTCAAAATTTTTAATGGTTTCGCAGATACACGAACTATTATTTCATATGGCTCTTTAAAGAGTAAAATACGAGAGAAAAATCATTGGGTGGCTTTGATAAAAATTTATTGTGGAATGCCATATGAAATATAAAACCGCGAATATCTGCGAACCTGTTAAAAATTTTGGAATACTGTAAAAACAAAAAATGTTCATTTTTTAATTCTCCATCTATTGAAAAAATAATATACAGGATGTTCTATTAAAAAAAAACGAAGAAAAATTAATTTATATTTAGAAAATTTGGCCTAGAATTTTGAACATCCTGTATGATTTACGATTACTATATTTAGAGCAAAGTTATTACAGACCATCTAAATCAAATACCTAATACAGTTTTGATTTCAGGACAGTTCTTGTATTTTTAATAACTTTTTTAAGGAAGGCTGGAAAATATACTACATTTTTTATTTATTTATTAATATTTCTGAAACTACCGAAATATATTTACTCATATCTTAGGATTATGTAAAGTGATCTGAAAGGAAGCACAAATTGCAATAATATACAGGGTGTTCAATTTAAAAGAAAATCATCTCGATTCACTCACACTTGGCTACGTGGCTACGCAAGTTAAAATATTTTCCTGAAATACATCCTAGTACATACTTAGGTTTGTACTTAAACAAAATTCACAAGTTTTTTATTCTAAAGCTGGATTTATAAACTCCGAAGTTGGCGTTCAGTTGAGGTTCAGTTGCAGTTGGACGTTCGCGGCAGTTGAGGTTCAATATTTTTGCCAATTTTTGCATTTATAAACTGTCAGTTTCGGTTGTAGGTTAGGTTTGGAATTGTGAAAATTTTGAACGTTTTTCTTTCGATTTAAAAATACTTTTGGTATTTGTCAAAGTTCAAACACAGTAATCCACGATTACGCAAAATATAAACATTACATTAACAGAAATAATGAAACAACAATAAGGGTCATTTTCCAATGCATCGGCGTACTGTGCTTCACGTGATCGACAGGCGCTTATTCATTGGCTGTCGCCGAACGTCGCCAGCGGTCGCCAACTGCCCGCAACTGCCGACATAAACATTGACCATCTTTGAACTCCGCTGAACGTAAAACGAACTGCCAACTTCTCGACCAACTGACTTTATAAATGCGCGCGTTCATTTCATAGTGTTGAACATTTTAAACGGCAACTGAACCTCAACTCCCGAGTTTATAAATCCAGCTTAAGAGCTACATAGTATGCTTGACGCACTATTTTGTGCGTGTGGTTTTTAGTTACCCAGTGCACGGAATTGATTTCTCGAGCTCTCAAAGCGTTGAGTATCTATTTCCTGTCTCGACTAAAGTCAAAATTCTCGAGTAGAAACTCTATTACTCTTGACACTCTTTCGTTTTAACGACAGACAAAACTGATTGTAAAAAGTTATGTGTAGACGGGGCTGGACAATGTTGGTTTTGTCCATCTTTAATTTACTAACGAATCCGTCTTATTTTCAGTGGATGCCTATAAGTGACATGGCCCTGTGCCGCCGGAACGCAGGCGTGGTGGCGCTGAACGGACTGTTGTACGTGGTGGGCGGCGACGACGGTTGCAGCAACCTGGCCTCGGTCGAAGTCTACAACCCGAAGACGGATTCGTGGAATATGCTGCCCAGTTGCATGGGCATCGGCCGCAGCTATGCCGGCGTGGCCGTCATCGATAAGCCCATTTGAAAGTCGGACTCTGTTGGCGGCGGGACCGTGGCTACGCAATTGGTTTCGATGGCTGGCAGGTGTGTATCATTTATTTAAACGAAATTTTAAACTTTTAACTTTTTTTTAACTTTTCTGCTGTTGATTTCAGTGGCGGCTCGTTAGGTCTAAAAGAGGGAGGGTACAAGAATACATAATTACTAGATTTTGTATATAATTTTTGCGACATTGAACATAATTTTCTTGGTTGGGTATGTATATAGTGTATGTCATAAATCTCTGTTTCCGCGAAAACAAGTATGTGAGGGGCATATTTGTGAAATTTTGTTCTTTGTATAATATTGTCTACGTTTTTGCCAATTAAATGTCAAATGGCATAGTCGGACTTAACTATCTTGGCAGTAGAGTATGATTGTGTGTGTTAAGCTTAATCATGGATAATCTAGAGATTTGGTAAACATTATAATAAACCAAGTCCAGCACGACGTAATGGGGAAGCAAATAATACCTCCCAACATTTTTATTGGAACCACAAAACCAAAAATTTCTTCAATAATTTGAATTAAGCATACACCAAACACAATACGTTTTCGCGCTTACACAAGCCGTTAAGTGGTGGTGAGCTCGAGTAGCAGAAAATCGGCATACTCTGATATAACCTGTCATACACATACCCAGTAATGTGTAGTTTGCGAAAAATAGCTTAATATAAAAAAAAGTAAAAGCTTCTTAAGGCCAACTGGCGGTAAGCGTCATTAAAAAATAAAGACGAGTAAGGGCTAAGTAAATGATGTCTAGGACTTGACCTCGCCAAAATTATCATAGATTGTCATTTCCTAACCGTTTTTGGCGCCGCTTTTTTAGTGGTATAGTATATGGATATTAAACAGTTATTACCAGTTTTTAAGAGCGTTTTTGAAGGACTTTTAAACTTATGCAAAGCGTTTTGCAAGTTTTAGTGAAATTTTTGAAAAAGTAGGATTTTATGTTTTCATAAAACGTTATAACTCGACTGCGAAAGAACTTTTTAAAATAGTATTTTTATTCGCTTATCTCTACTCAAAAGAATATTGCTCGACGCCGTCTATTCAGATGTCTAATAACAATTTGTAAAAGGTAATGTCTCTGAGATAAGTCGTTCCGTGCCTCGAGTCGACGATTTAATGGCGTATTGCGTAGATAACCGAAAATCACCGAATGATACTCAGAATAGATATATATTAAACAGTTTCATTGGGCGATGCGCGTTTCTCCGTCTAGTCGATAGAGAGTTGTTTAGTACTAGCTGCTACTGTCCTTTGGTACAATAATACAAGGATTGAAAGATGTTATAAATTTGTTAGGTACGCTAACTGTGAAGAAAACAGCAACGCAGAGGGCGCCGTGGGATACGATTTCCGAGCGCCATCTGTCTCTTCCAGGGAGGGTGCCCCAGAAAACATTTACGAACCGATTTGCAACGAGCCCGACGCCAACAGTATTCAGGTGGAGAATATCTACGAGTCGATTGAGGATATTAGACAGCAACAAGAAAGTAAGTTCATAGCATTTAGATTACTATGGTAAGATAGTGTGTCCAGTAACGATCTTCAAGAATATTTTTGGGGTGGGAAGCTTTCATGTTACAATAACAAAATAAAATACTAGCTCACCACGATGATTCAAACTAAACCCAGTGGTGAACTAGCGTGGAAATTCTTCAACACGTTACCGAAAATTATTCTCATCAAGCAGATGATTGATGAGAACTGATGAAAAATTAATTGATGCATTGATGAAATTAATCTTAAAATATAAGAAAAACGGAGAAACATTGTAATTTTATGGTTTTTACGGTTTTCTTAAAATTCTACGATTAATTGAAATGAAACGAAAACGGTTTCCACCTTTGAATAAGAAGACTAAGGAAGGAGCATAATGCTATCCATGTATTCATGCATGGTGGGCGGAAAAAGGACTTTAGGGTGGGAATCCTTGACAGTTCTGTTTGACGATTCATTTGACACATTTGAATTTGATTTGAAATTTCGTGGATTTGTCAGTATTTATGGAGCTTATTTTATGTTATTTATTATTTATTCTACTACTGATAGTTGTATAAAGGTAGTAAATCTAGATGGAAATTGTAGCAGAACTTAAATTAACAGTGACACTATCGCGATTTATCGAAAAAGACTCTAAAATAGTTCTGTAGCGTGCGGTAGATCTCGGCAAAAATCGAGTGAAATAATGGAACAACTTTTCGCTAGTAAGTGACTATATAATATACACATACGTGTAGTAAACCGATCATTTATGAAATTCACTTAAATTAACTAATTATATATTTTTTCTTGCATTTTTGCTTTTATTTACTACTTGTCAAAGATTAGATGTCAAAGAATTTAGATACGTCACTTTGACTTACCTGGTTCAGTAGCGTATCGGATGTTTGTGTTAATAAATAATTATTATAACTATCTATTTTTATTAGAATTTTACATTTTTATAACAGTTTGAGTCTACCCCACGTCTACCCTATGTCATAGTTTTACATTTTTTAAATAAAATTAGAACGGCACTGATAAACCGGAATTTAAGTTGGCCATATTTGAGGCCCATCGCGGTGGACCTAAGATTTTTGATATAGTCCTTCCTTACTGTTCTTATTCAAAGGTTTCCACTTTGCAAGGTTAATTTTCTAATCTGATGTGTCGGATTCAAGACACCACCATTTATTTGTCAAAATTTAGCAGTGTTCGACGTATTTCGAAACAATGCCATCTATGACCATCTATTGAATTTATGGCCATGCCATGAGTAGAGCTAAATTAGTGCTTTTTTAGACATCAACTTGAAAACAAATATTACACTGGGGTTAGACCGCTGGTGATCCAGCAGCAAAATAAAAACACCAATTCACCACAATACATCAAAACACTTTACTTTTAACACTGGATGCGCGTTTCGCTCACCATGTTAGCATCATCAGTAGACATATCATGGTTAGAGAAGCGCGTCCAATGTTAAAAGTGGAGTGTTTTGGTGTATTGTGTTCTTATGTTTGCTTTTTATTTTGTTGTACTTGATTAAAATCGGTATTATTGAAAGATAAATAATGTCTATGATCCCCTCCACCCCACTTTATTTTTGACAATAGACAAAAAAAGGTCCTGAGGAAAAAGTTACATAATTGGTAAAAGAAATACACTGTTTATATTTTCATGTAATAATAATAATAATAAATAGTCTTTATTGTAATCCATAAGCATTACAAAAGGCGAAGTTGAAGCATTGCTTCCTATCTTAACCTACATACCTACATTTACAAAAAAAAACATATATACATTCCATAATCAATCCTATAACTTCATAGAGAAAGAAACCCTGCTCAATTTTCCAAAAAAAGAGATACAATAAATTCAATTACAAAAAAAGGAAACCAGCCGAAATATAGCTCAATTAGAAGAATTTAAACGAAAATTGGGGTTTCCCATTTTAAAGATAGAATATTATGTTTTTTTTATTAGATTTACGATTACAACGACCCAGTAGTTCTAACGCGACAGTACACGATGTTTGCGAACCTATCTACGATCCGAATCTGCCCAGCTGCAGTACCAGCACGTACGGACGCATCGGCAACGCCTACGGTCGTATTGACATTATTGGTCACGGCATTGGACGAATCGAACGACATCTGTCATCTTCATGTGGAAGTATCAACAGTAATCATTACGCTATCGAAAGTCTTTATGGAACAACTGATCATACAGGTATGCAAAATATTAATGTTAAGTCAAATTCCAAGCCAATTTATACAGGGTGAGTTTCCTACGATGTTCTGTATGGGTATCTCAGAAACTACTGAAGATAGAGAGTGGGTTAAATGGGAGAAGAATTGCACTTTTGTGGGGTCATAAATATGCGCTTTTTAGATTTTCAAAAAGTGCATGGCTTACTAGATATTTCGAAAAAAACAAATTTCGGCTATTTTAAAAATTGTCCCTAATTCCATTATACCCTATTTTAGACAAAAAGTTTTCGGATAAAAGTTCTAGATAATCACATCCCTAATGAGTTTGTGTTCTCCGATTTTTTCTAAAGCCTCTCATTTTTGACATATGACACAAACATGTTTTTTTTTTAAATGGAAACCATAGTCATAGCCAAACTTCATAAAAAGCGCAATTTTTTAAGCTTTTCGGCGATATAAGCTATATGTTTCTTTTGAAAATATAGTTATAGCTAATTCTTATCTTTCTTGACTAATTTCACTTAGTTGGTATGGTATTCTTATTCTGTTATGATTTATAACTTATAAAAATACAGAATAATCTATTAAACGGTTCTTTACAATTTACTACACAAAAATATCACTACATACTACATACACGTTAAGTTATTTTAGCAAATATTCAAAAAAACGGCCATTGTTTTGAGTACATAAAATGCATCTTTTTAAAACTGAATTACAAGCTTTTCCCACAGAACGGTTGATAACGGCCGGTCGACATTAATAAATAAACTTCTCCCGTACCGTCTCTTCGGGTGCCTCTCTTAATTCATAAGTTCTTTTGTAACCCTTATTGTTAACCATACCGCCTAAAAAATCTAAAATGGATAGGTTCTAAAAATCGTAAGTAACATTCACCGGTCAACGTATTCTCGAAAATGTATGGCCAAGCAAAGTTGAACAAATAATCCTACACGCTTTTCTTCAATTGAAAAATTCATATTTACAATTTTTGTTTATTTTAATTTACAAAATTTGGATGTGACCGTTTCACATTTCTGAGAGCAACGACGATTGAACTTGTTCTCATGGCTAATTAAGTGAAATTTCTCCAAAAAAATCCTTTATGGGTATTTCGCCACTGCACTACAAGAAAATATACAAGATTGTTTAAAAATTATGAAAATTGGCTATAACTCAGTCATTTTCCGAAAGAAATATATATTATATAGCTTATATCGCTGAAAAGCTTAAAAAATGGCGCTTATGAAGTCATGACCAATTATAGTTCCGATTAAAAGAAACATATGTTTGGGTTATATGTCAAATATAAAAGGAAAAGGCTTTAGAAAAAAAAAAACTGAAGACACAATCTTATTAAGGATGTGATTATCTACAACTTTTATCTGAAAACTTTTTGTCTAAAATAGATAATGGGATTAGGGACAATTTTTAAAAAAGCCGAAATTTGTTTTTTTCAAAATATTCAGTAAGCCATGAACTTTTTCAAAAATCTGAAAGGCGCATGTTTATGACTCCACAAAACTGCAATTCTTTCTCTATTTAACCGACTCTCAATCTCCAGTAGTTTCTGACATACCAATAGAGAACATCGTAGGAAACTCACCTTGTAAATTATTTCTTTATTGTGATTTTTATTCGATATTGTTTTAGCATATAAAATTACCTCTTAGTATAGGCTTGATGCATTCTCTGCTAGTTCTGTCACCATCGGAGAATCCCATAAAAAAAGACTGATAAAAATACACCAGCTTAAATAGCAAGTACATGAAAAATTTGTTACATAATTATTTTAAAACTATTAGTAAATGCAATTTGTGAAAATTCTGAAAAAAATAAATAAAAAGGTAAATCTTTTTATATCTTTAGAAGGTCTAACGTGTATTATAATTGATTATTCAAGCAAAAAACTTTCTAGATGAGTAATAACACGCAGGCTTCAACTACGACAGCGAGCATAGTTTTATCACTTTTTACATCCCAGTTTTTCTAGTTGGCACATAACTGTGGCTATCTGGACTGTAATAACAATTTTTAAAGTTACCTAATTATAATTTTAGAACATGTTCATAAAACAATTAAGCCAGTAGTTGATTAAAAAGAAGTATACCATTAATATTGATCAAATTATATTTTATTCTCATAATTATATTTATGACAATTTCATATTTTGATAATGCACTTTGTTTATTCATTTTTATCGTTGAACTGCCCGAATCAATTTTTGTTTTTGATCAGATCGATGTGATAAAGCTGGGATTTTGTAAAATGTTGTTCCAGGAGAGTTAAATATTATGACAAAACCACGATTTCAATATTATTTTAATCTGATCAACATGATAGTGACGTGAAATATATACTGATAATTTCTGATTTCTGCCGTTGAAGCGCTGAGGTCGTTGTGCATTTGTTGAAATCAACTGAAATGCACCAAGCCTATGCATATTATGTAAAATACAGGGTGGGTCACTGAAAACTTACAATCGCTATAATTTTTAAACCAAAAAATATATCAAAAAAATAAGAAATACCGCTTCTATAATATCGAGGGGGAATACATATGACGTATTTTTTGAACCACCCCGACCTACCCCTAAGGCGGCACCACTACTCACTTGAAAATCTTAAATGGCAACACCCCACTTGTTGCGCCTTTTTGGAAAGCCCATGAAAAATGCTGATCATAAAGTTTTTAGGGTGAAATTGAAAAACTACCCCTTACACGAAAAATTTGGTGGACATTAATGAGAAAAGTGATTATTTCAGCATAAGTTACAAATTGGGATCCAGCTAAATGAGTTTTTTTTTCAAACTACCCTGACCCACCCCTAGGTGCCACCCCCTTACTTCTAACCTCAAGATAGCGATACTCCACTTGTGACACCTCTTTGGAAAGCGTATATAAAATGCTGAACGACTGTCATAAAAAAGAACGAAAAAAAATAGAGCCTAAAAATAAAACAAAAATGTCAAAACGTGTCAAAATCAATAGAATGAATTATTTTTGTATCCATGAACCATTGCGAGAAAAAAAAGCTGGTACAAAGAAATTTATTATAACTCTTAATGAAGATCTCATACACTTTCAGCAAGATGGAGCCCCTTCGCATTATTCTATTGTCACAAGGCGGTGGATGGATAAATATTATCCAAGGCAATGGATTGGCAGAAGGGGTCCAATGGAGTGGCCGCCAAGGTCACCTGATCTCACTCCTTTAGACTTTTCCTTGTGAGGCTTACACTAAATCCATAGTCTACAAGACAAAACCAGGTTCGTTGCAAGAATTGCGGCAGAGGAGAACTGAAGCATGTCGAAATATTCCGAGAGAAACTTTCCAAAAAGTGAGAGAAGAATTTGAAAATCGTTTGTATTTTTGTATGGAACAAAACGGCTGTCATTTTGAGCAATTATTAAAATAAATTATCATTTAAAATTTCTTTCAAATTGTCACACCTATATTTCTTGTCACTAACCGGTAATTAAGTTGAAGTCTGTATGACCATCTTTTAGCAATCTAGGGGTGGGCTGGGGTGGTTTGAAAAATACTTCATTTAGCTGGGTCCCAATTTGTAACTTATGCTGAAAAAATCACCTTTTTCATTAATGTCCACCTAATTGTTCGTGTAAGGGTAGTTTTTCAATTTCACCCTAAAAACTTTATGATCATCATTTAGCATTTTTCATGAGCTTTCCAAAAAGACGCCACAAGTGGGGTGTTGCCATTTAAGATTTTCAAGTGAGTAGGGGTGCCTCCTAAGGGGTAGGTCGGGGTGGTTCAAAAAATACGTCATATGTATTCCCCCTCGATATTATAGAAATGGTATTTTTTATTTTTTTGATATCTTTTTTGGTTTAAAAATTATAGCCATTGTAAGTTTTCAGTGGCCCACCCTGTATAAAAGACCACCTAATATACTATAAACGCTACCAGTGTATGTACCAGCGCGCTAAATCTGCATACAATCTAAGCGCTTGATAGGTGTTTCAGGTAGAATAAGTAAAGTCTCCGTGCAATGGTTACTGGCAAATAAATGGTTGCCTCTGTGGATAGCCAATACTGAGACCGGAAAGGATTACCGAATAATCGATTTTTTGATAGCCCAGGGTCTGGAACAGATGGAAGAGGCAGAAGGAGAGGACGCACTCTCCGCCACTGAAGATTGTCCTTCAAACGACCCTTCAGAACAACAGTCTAACTAGGTAATTATTGGAATGAAAGCAGGTTATATATATAAAACAATTTAAAATATTTTTCTACATAAAACTGGTCTAATTTTGACGTAGGTATTTTATTAGAAAATATGGTTGTGTTTTCCCAATATTTCTATCGCTGATGTGGTAGGTTATGTTCAAATAGAGGTTGTACCCTAAATAACTTTATCTTGAGGTCGGATTAATAGATTTATCTTGTGGTAGGCAGCTGTGCCAAAATAGTCACTGTGCAGACAAAGACATATTTGTCTGAAAATGTTTGTTGTTAAGCTAATTTTCTTGTTGCGTCTCTTAGATATTATCTCTTCACTTGCTTGTTTAGGTTTTAATGTCCAATCTAATTGCATATTTATCTGACACCAAGCACGTAGTTGATTTGTTAATATGCAATTGGTTTTTATAGTTGATATTATAAATTATTAAACACTTATAAATTTAGCTAAGTTTTACCAGATTTCTTATAGTATGTGATGAATATAGTATATTTTAGATATTTCTGAAATTGTGATGATAATTTTAGTCTTTTTATATTGATTTTATTCAGTGAAACAAAATGTTTTAAACAGAAAAAAAAACAAATTATGTATTACAATTTTGATGTGCATATGACAATAGCCATCCCAAAAAGTTCTGACCTAGAATCTTTCCTTATAATGTTACCACATTCAAACCATAAATTAATATGCACGCTCTATTTTTGTATATTTTTTGTTCTCAAATATAAATGTGATTTAGGACTTAGATTTTAATCGTACAAATTTTTTTTTAACTTAATATTGTGACTTCTTTACACACGAAAAAACACTCGATTTGTAGACTTAGATCTGTTACTTAGTCTTAAGTTTATTTATATATATTGAATTATATTTATCAAATAAAACCTTCTATGACGTTGCTAAGTGGTTTTATTTCAAGATATATAGAGTGGCTTTTTATGAGGTTATTCGTACTTTATAAATTTGTATTCTTATTTGCTAGCATTTTTTGGAAAAACGTGAACTACAACCTATGAATTAATTGGTGTAGCAAGTAAGGTATCTCGATAATACTTTTATATTTTATTAAACAATGTTACATTAGTAAGCAGTCTCAACGAGCATATCAAAATTTTCGATCAACTGATCGTATGCTGTTTGTGCCATTTGACCTAATTGACCTTCAGGTTGACTGACCGGTTCATTTGTTAATATTTCCACTGCCTGTTTAAGAATATCCACAGATTCTTTGAGTTTTTGCCTGAAGTCATCTTTGCTGATTGCGTCGTATTGGTACTGGTGTCTGGCGTGCATCATTATGGGTCCATGGAGTTCGTACAGTGTTATACCTTAAATCAAATTTGTCTGAGTAGAGTAGGTAATGTTAGAAGCTATTATTTGTACAATGATAATTATGTGAAATATATAGTGAATGATTCTAAATGATCTCAATTTCCACGTACGGTTCAAAATGGGGGTATACTGGCCAGTATAGGAAAACTTTATGCGCATAACTACCGAGTTACATTTCAGTGTGTGAGAATCTCCAGCAATCAGTATGGTTAAATCTGGGATGCCATGATGAATTTTCTCAACGTTGCCGATTTGCCCGAAGCGTTTAATATCTTTAGAAAATATTTACCATTTATTGCCAAATAAATAAAGTTCTAACAACAGTTACGTTATGAAACTTGAATCGCTACTTGTGAATACTTGGCATACGTGGTATACTTGTAACTAAACTTGTGTATGTAAAGAACTAAAAATATATTAAAATAACAGGTAATATCGAACAATTTTGCTTTTGTATTGTTATAAATTTGACAACATCGATTTTTTTTGCCCACATTTCTCTTGATGCTTCAGATCACATTAGAAGAGTTGATTGTTATGGTTTAATATACAAATTATAATATAATGATAATATAATAAATAGTGAATGTTGTGATCATCAATAGGTCAGTTCTTAGGTAACTCCTTCCATTTTTGTCGATTATATGTGTTTATCAATTTGTGAGCGAGATCCAACCAAGTATACAATGATAATATGGGTATCATCAGTTATTTTAGGTTTATTTTTGATTTTTTATAATGAAAAAATGACCGATTTGTTTGGTCTGGGTTGGGTTGCGATTTGTTACGAAAATATTTTGTATTATAAATATTTTACCTCTGATTCTTGATAATCCGGGTTCGATAACATCTAAAACTTCCAAAAGTTGGTAGCACAATTCCATTTTCCTTTCCAAAATTACATCTGGCAAATCTCCTAATGTATATCCTTCAGCCTTTCCATATAACTGGATAAGGGCACTTCTTAAAATAGTCATATAAGCATGTTTGGGATGAAGAACTGATCTGCTCGCAAAAAAAATGCTTTATGTGATATGTGACTGTATTTCACTGATATTTAAGTATAACAAAAATGAACAAAGTTGCGCTGACAATGTTTTTCTGTTAATGTTTCCTACAATCACAAAAAAAACATCAGTTTACTGGAAGTTTATATATATCATTATTTAAACTGATCAAAATGACTCCGGTTCAGAGACAATCGGTCACTGATGTTAAGCGACGTTGGTCGAGGTACTCGCTTGGTTGGATGGTGGTCTGAAAACTTCGTCGTGTTATAGTTGAAGGTAAAAATGCAAAACCTATTGAGACATTGCTTGCTTAAGCTGGTTAGAGGCCTGATGAGATCATGAGTAATAGGCGATTTACACACTCGTTAACTTGGTAATACGAATGTATAATCAACCTTTTTTACTTTGAAAAAAAAACGAACCAAACCCTTCTTCAAGTATCTGTGATTTTTTTAGGTAGTTTTAAATTGAATATATCATGGAATGTAATGGCCGAAAATCTACTTTTTATCAGAAAGTTTGTTAGCGAAACTTTGTTTGGGACTCTCTATAAAATAGTACTTACTTGTATTTCCTAAATATCGTTTCTCTTTGTTGAATACCCTCATGTCCGCCTACGTATTCTACCTGATCTATTTCATTCTGTATGGCAGCAAAAACTTTCCTCATAGCTCCTCCATGAGTCTTATAGTCGCAGTGAGTACAATTCCATTCGCATAAATCATCTTAAATTTTCCAAAATAATTTCTGAACATATTCTCAACCATATCTGAACTTACTTAAAGGATCCGAAGCCACGACTACACCGTTATCGCATCTTTGGCATTTTAAGCTGCTCATGTGCGTTCCTAATTCGGTTTTGTCCGAACATCTCGGGCAGGCACATTCAAAAAATTTACTTTCCCTTAGAAATTCTCTCCTGACGAGTGTGGGCCAGATGGAATATGTGTAGCTACTGTATAGCTCCCCACCTTTTGGAATGTGTATAGCTGCTCTGACTGTAACACTAAAATAATTGGCAGAAGAGAATAAGTCTTCCTCCTTCTCAAGTCTATTTAAAGCGTATTTTTTTATTTATAGTAAGTCATCTATTAAGCAATTGATCAATAAAGTTATTACAAAAATTAAGAGTATGTATATATGTATGCGTTTATGTATTGAAAATTTATTCGTGTTAAACATAGATTAAACAACAAAAATAATTTTTTATAGGTACTGCATATCTCGTATGATTGAAAAAAGTCGTTTAGTTCGCTTGGAAATTACGACCACCACACTACACTACTCAAGACATTAACCATAATATTTTACATATAAAATTACAGCGACCTTCATCCCCACGCCAACCCTGTCGCCGTTTTTTGTATAATCATATAATATATTAAATTGTTTAATGTTAGAAAATCCGTATTATTAACATACTGTACCCTAAATCCATAAATCTACGGATTAATCCGTAGTTCTGGCAACACTGTCTCCGGCAACCACTAACTGTCGATTGAAAGCAGAACTACGGTACAGTATTCTTTATCCGCTGCGCTGTAAACCACTATCAGCGAGCAGCGGCGCAGAGTTAAACCAAAAAACTAAATCTCGGGCAGGTTGACTAGCGGCGACGGTATTACCAGCTACATTTTGGACAGGTTTTGTGCCACAAAATTGCTCATAAGGTTGCGCATCTTATTTCTTTAATCAAAGATATTAATTTGTACGGTCTAGGTATACTTACACGCAATCTTTTAGATTTCCGTTTCCGTGACAGTCAACCGCATGGTGAATATTCGATACACAATTATGTGACATTAGAGCTAACTTAGGGAATAAACATCTAATCATGTAACAATTCGGTGTCCTTGCTTCAAATGCGTTTACCTCTAGTATTCCACACACCTAAAATGTTTTAGTTTTTAACAATAAAGAGAAGTTGATTAATCTTACTGTATGAATTAAATCTTCTGAGAATCTGTCTAGTTTACAAGGCCCCCTTAAATATTCTACAATGTTGTGTTGGTTAAATTCCCATATGGGTTTTGGTTTTCTTTGCTCATTGTGTGATTCCATGACTGATACTTCCTCTTCCCATCGTTTTTGATCACGTTCTTTCTCAAGCAGAACTCTAGAACCAAACAAATTGATAATGAACGACGATCTCTACTAAAAACACATTTTTTACCTTATAGGAGTAATACATTCATACTGAAGACAAACATCTGTAGGGTCTTCGACAGCTTGAAATTTTACTTTGGCATTCGAGAATACATCACATTCGTTGTCTTTATGTACGGATAAGACCTCGCATTGTGGTCCGCACACTGGCCACGAACATTTTGAACATAATGTGGCGCAGTCTACGGGATTGTGGCAACCCAAACAAACACATGCACTATCTAAAAATTGTAATTATCTGTTATATGAGTGATGAAATGATTGTAAAGTTTAGGTTTAGTGTTTGGGAAAACTATGATTTTTAGTTTATGTTAGAAGAAAACATGACATGACACATTGGAAGGAGATGGATAAAATTGTGAATAATTAACATAATTTTAATGAGATAAACTATAGTCTTGGACTGAGTTTGTCTTTACTGTTGAAATTTTATACGGCTTTACGACGTATATATGTTACGGTTAAAGTCCGATGTCCGGTTAATGTCGACATTAACATGTTAATGTTTGGGTTAGGTTATGCTTTTGGTTGTTTTGTTGTGTGTTATTCTCGAGATTAACCGGGTAATGTCGACATTTACCGGACATCGGACCTTAACCGTAACATATATATTAATTGAGCTCTCATGAGGAATTATAAAATTTTCTGAATTACTAGAAATGAATATTTCTTTGCTTTGGCAAAAAATGAATTGTTGGTTTGCAAGTGTGATTTATTCTTGGTCCCTAGTGGAAGATTAAATGGCATAATATAAATGCGTCATAATATATTTAATAAACGCATCAACATGTCATAAAGGTAGTTATAAGTTATTTTTATTTCTGCTGTGCTTTGCAACCACGTTCTATATCACATTGCTTGCAAACCACGTTCTATATCTAAGTTGTTTGGAGTTTAATTCAGGTATCCATATCAACTATTTAGTGTATAGAATCTTCATAAAAATTAGTTTTTTTTTCTGTAAGACCTTATTGATTCTACTTTGAAATTTTTTATCTGATTGATTTTTTCTTTTCTGACTTTTAAAATAACATTATAAGATTTTTTCTTAAAATATTTGTATATGAAAATGTAAATGTCTTATCTGTCATCGATACATATTATGGTATGCATGTATGTATGTATTATACCGTATGATCGAAAAAAAACGGCGTCCAGTTGGCTGGGAAATGAACATCGATGACATTTCCCATATAAAATTTACATATAAAATGACAGCGATCTTCATTCCATAGCCATCGCTGACGCCGTTTTTTCTCGATCATACGGTATATACATATTATACATATACTATTATGTAATAAAATTATATAAGGATTATTGCCACTTAACTGCTGATATAGAACTTTAATTCTACGCTGTGTTTGTCATAATGTGGATCAACCTTCTCTCACTACCGGTTTCGGAGCCCTACTCCATCATCAGGGGAGTTTGGGCAGATCCGCAAAATGACAGCCACAGCTCAGAGATAGTTAATTCCGACATGTCGGAAAGTGTCGGTTAGATATTAAGTCCCGAACGGGAGATAGCGGCCTGCGTGCAATGGTAGTACTTTCGTACCACCGAGGCGCAACTATCGATAGTAAAAAGATGGTAAAAGGCTTTTTTTCAGGCAAGCCAAATTATAAAATAGAAAACAAATTTCTTGCTGTATAGGTATATAATAAAATTGTATAAGGATTCTTGCCACTTAACTCCTGATATAGAAATTTAATTCTACGCTGTGTTTGTCATAATGTGGATCAACCTGCTCTCACTACCGGTTTCGGAGCCCTACTCCATCATCAACCAATCATCTGTCCAAACTCACCTGATGATGGAGTAGGGCTCCGAAACCGGTAGTGAGAGCAGGTTGATCCACATTGTGACAAACACAGCGTAGAATTAAATTTCTATATCAGCAGTTAAGTGGCAAGAATCCTTATATAATTTTATTATATACCTATACCTACTGCAAGAAATTTGTTTTCTATTTTATATTATTATGGGTACCTTCGACACTAAGGGTTTATCACAGTTATTACTGGATCTTATGACCGCCAAGTCTAGGCTATTTACCACTATTTACAGCTATTCTTGCTTGTATCGAGTACGTCAGTTTTAGGTAGTTTCTAGCAGTGAAGAGTTTAAAATAAAAATACTAGTGCATCTCATGTCATAAAGGTAGTCTCAATATAACACCAAAGCACTTACTTACTTTGAACACTGGATGTACATTTCGCTAACCATATACTGGTAGCAAGATCGGCAGATCATTAAAACATTTTCATTTTGGTGAATGATGACTATACATCGAACACTTATATAAACGTGCCTTCAGTGTTCAAATGAAATGTTTTTTTCTTGAACTAGTGTTTTATTTTGCTGTTGAAACGCCGAATGTTCCAACTTCAACTGTGATAGTAAAGAGAGTATATGCGCAGCAGGTGATGACAGGAATTCTCGAAAATATGCAGAGATATCCAGCTAGAAAGCATTCTACAAACTGTGACTGCTGGGGAATGATTCTCGATGATAATTTTGGTGAGGTCAATCCCTAGACATTTATTTACTAAAGATTGACATAGAACTTGTCAAAAAATAACACTAATAATTATAGAAAGGTTAAAAAAATGATGGAACGTTTCCAGGAATCCCCAGCCGTCTTTGACGCCGTTTTCTTTGGATGTATGGTATATATTTAGTAGAATATCTGTTCAATCAAGCTAACACATGACAAATCTTAAGACTGGCTCTACTAACAGGGCATGTATTTATAGTTGATGGGGTTAACAGATGAAACTACAGATTCCCGATTAAATCAATTAGAATAATAAATGGCAGAACATACTTCTATGTGATTGTGATAGTCTGCGATGGCAAATGTGCGGTTCCTTGTATTAGGCGATAATAAGCTATAGGAAAAGGACTACATGGAAAGTTCAGCGAAAAGGATAAAATTAGAGAATGCCTATCTAAAGATCAGAGAACTATAATAGATTTGAAAAGGTTGCATTGGTGTAGATCAAAAGCCACCTCATAAAATCTACTCTAGTCTATCTGTTATTTAGCTGCTACATTGCTTTACTGGAAATATCCCAAACATACGTACCTGATTTCGGTCCATACGCAAAGGGAGCTTCTTTAAATATCACATCGCCGGGCTTTAAGTCTTGGCTAGCCACTGAATACCGTCCTACAGTGTTGTTTGTCTCAATTTTAAACAAATCCTACCGGTAAAACGCCAATGATATTCATATAAAAACATTCTTAAACCATCTCTCATATGTTACTTACTTGCTCACTCATTTTAGTTCCTTGTAGCACGTATTTTATCAATGAATATCTAATTGGATTTTGCTAATTCCTGTTCTACAGATCAATGAATATATAGTTCGGCCTATTTATCTAGATCGGTCTAGAAAACGAGTTTGTTTTTCAAACACTGGACCTGTTATTGCGTTGGGTATTTATTTTAAATATAGATCCTGGATAAAAATAGGATGCGGGCATTGAATATGCCCGTATGCTTTTTCCTGAGTGAAAAGCGGTGTTGTAGGAGTAGGATATTAATCATTTAATTTAATTGACTTGTCGTGGACTTCTTTTGTTTTGCAGTCAATTCGTCCTTTAATGATAAGTGTTAGTTATGGTTAACAATAATGGAATACGTAAATTAAAAGATGAATGAATATATTGTCTTTTTGAACATGAATTTTGACTTTTAGTTATAATCTTTACTGAAAAAAAATGGCGTCAGGGTTGGCTTGGAAGTGAAGAATGTTGCCATTATACCGGGTGCGTCTCGAAAGTGGCTCACCCCTATAACTTTTTTATTTTTTCAAATAAAAAACGAGATTTGGTACTGGATGGTCATTGTTACTAGATGACATAAATTAAGATTGATTGACGTATTCAAATGTTTTTGGTCACTTCCTGTTTCACCGGAAATGACTACAACTTTTGATTTTTAAATGGTACCTTAGGTATTTTTTTTTTTACTTTATTCGATAGAAAATGACATTCTGAATAGAATGACATATCATATATCAACTTTTGACATTTTCGTTTGATAAAAAAATCGTATTCTATCGAATATTCTTTAATAAAAAATCGTATTCGAAAATCTAGAGTGCCATGACTATGTTAAAAACACTAATTCAAGGAGCCTTGGAAAAATAGATTTGATCTTCTTTGTTTTTTGTGTTGTCTTGTACTGGCCAGTTAAAAAATGCCCAAATCGTATTTTTAATCATATCTCATTTTTTTCAAATGGAACGAGGGTGGCTCATTAGCATATTTGGAAAAAGCGTTTTTTATGAATAATTTGATACCACACATTTGGTATTTCGAGTTAAATTTTCGTTACGAACCGCAAGTTATAATTTCAAATAAACCATATGCGAAAATGTCAAAAGTTGATATATGATATGTCATTCTACTCAGAGTGTTATTTTCTATCGAATAAAGCAAAAATATACAGAGGGTGCCATTTAAAAATCAAAAGTTGTGGTCATTTCCGGCTAAACAGGAAGTGACCGAAAACAATTGAATACGTCAATCAATCCTAATTTATGTCATATATTAACATACTAATTCTCATTTTTTTAACTGAAAAAATAAAAGAGTTATAGGGGGTGAGCCACTTTTGAGACGTACCCGGTATATTATGTAAAATTATACATGGCGGATTTTATAAATTTATCATTCCAAGCCAACGTTTTTTGGGTAGATATAATAAATTAAGGTATTCTTTATCACACATTTACGGTGTTAATTCCCTAAAAGAAAGATATAATAAATATTAAAGATAAATTACTGATGTAATGCTAATATTTTTTGGCTTCAAGCAAGTCACAGTGATTGTCTCTGGAAAAAAGGACGGAAACAGGACATTTAAAGATGGGGGATTCAAACTGGAGTAACTCTACTTAAGAAAGCAAACAACACTTATAAGAACTTTATGTTTTGAAGAGAAGCAAAATGTTTTATTTGCCATCAAATATGCACGGCAATAGATACAGAAGAATATTGGAGAAACTAAACGTCCTCTAAATGTACGACTTAGGACTTAGCGAGCACAAAAAAACATGTACAAAAAGGTGAAACAATGAAGTCAGGTATTGCGGACCACGTTTAGTCAAAACAGCCCAATATAAAGTTGTCGGAAGCTCGGATTGTCGACAGGGAACCTCATTGGAAAAAGCATAAATTTAAATAAGCCGTTTTTATAGCAAGCAATAATAACATTTTTAGCAATCCTAATATGGCAACAAAACAATTTTGAATGATACTTCAAACAATTTTTTCAATCCGACAAAGGATTTTTTTATATTATCTTAATCATAATTAGTCATTATATTTAGACCGTCCATATTTCCTAGGTATTATTTATTATTAGTTTAAGATGTAGTTTAAAAATATATCCCGAAAATAAAGTGTGTAATGACCGCGTTAACCTTTAGATCCAATAACTACTTAATGTCAAGGATTAAAGTCAACGTTACACGCATATAAATTAATATGAACAGTAAAAAACTGAGGTATTTATTAAAACTAAAGATTAAAAATCTGTCATTGTTTTTTATTATGCATCCTAAGACCAAATAGTCTAAGTCTCTCTTTAAGAAATCATACAAACGAAAGAGCATACTAAGACACTCATCTCATTTAAAAATATATTATTATTTATGAAATATAATATCTTTTTGAACTGAAATTGTCTTTAATTTTGAAATTTTACAGAACGTTTCGGTCAAATGTATCACTCACTGATCAATATCAAGTGTGAATTGATATAGACAATAGATAACACACTTGATATTGGTTAATGATAAAAACGTTCTATGACACCTTTACATTTTACATAATATATCATTGCTTTCAACTAGGAAGGTATTGTTACATATGTTTTTCATATGCTATTATTTTTCATAAAGACAAAGACCATCATCGAGATCAGACCAGCCCCGTTATCAAAATTAACACACAACTCTATGCACACACTGCTACACGAAGCACAAGACAGAGAATTATGGAGACATACTATAATATATAGCGCCTGGTATACAGACAGACTGGTGACACTACCACTGCATTCCTTTTGTAGGAATAAAGCCAGAAGACAGTTACAATATTAACCTAACTAGGTCTAGACGAAATGTTCTTAGGGATTTATTAAATACCAATAGCCTCTCCCCTTTTAGCTTTCTCTAGGGCTCGAAACAATAAAACTTTACAAAAATTAATTCTTCTAGCAAAAAGAGTTACAAATTGAAATATAAACAAAGCAAAACTGTCGCGATAAGACAGACCTTCGTTCCGAAATCCCTATAGAAAGTCTGGAGAACTGTAACTTTCTATTTCGCTGTCCGGGTCCACGAAGGAGAAAAGTTAAAACAGTAAAACTTTTCGTCGTTCATAAATATTTTCAATTTATTCCTCTAAATTAGACGCTTAGAATGCTAATTAGTTCGCCATTCTTTCTCAACAACCCCGAGCTTTTATTGTTGTTCCCCCGCCGAGATTGTCTTTTACGTTTATTAAGGTAAAGTTTAATTGCCAAATGAGCCAAAAAATAGCGAGAATTTCGTTGCTCGCAACGGACCCTAATGTTTGACAAAGGCGATTTCCGGAAAAATGCAAATGGAAAAACGGAACAGGTTTGAAATTGCCAGGGATTTTGTAATTGCGGATAATCAGTTTTAATGAAAAATCCGAACAAAAAAAATAGAAGAAACGAATATTATGAAACATTTTGAGTGATCTTATAATAATCAAGTTGCGATGTAAAATCGCGAATGTCATATTCAGTAATTGGAAATTCTAACAAATATCATGGCTAACATTCTAACAAATACCAAGCGTTCCAGGAAATAACAAAAACGTTGCCCGACTCCCTGACAGATAGACAAGCTATCAAAACTATAGAGAATTTACACACAAACCTCTGCCTAAGCTGGCACACGAAGCACAAGACTATGGGCATCTCGGCTTAACATGACCGCTACTTTACTTTGAATGTGATAGACAATGATTCAGTGTTAAAACTAAAAGAATTTTGGACTTCCATTGTCTTTATTTATTTTGCTTACACGACGTTTCAGTCAAGAAGCATCACTGACCGTTATCAAGTGTGAACTAATAGCTTAGAGCTTACCTTTGAACTAAAACTTAGAGCTATTAGTTCACACTTAGTTCACGCTTAAGGCTTATATACTACCCGAGTAGCATTTTTGGGCACATTTTAGGTAATGTTTCTAATAATTATGTCTCTGTTTCTTGACACAAAATGGAAACGTTATGTCACAAATAGGAAACATTTTCGAAACCTATCTATTTTATATGGCTTTATTACATGTGTTTCCAATGTACTGGCACTAGCCGTTTCCTGAAATGTTTCGATGCGGAATCAAATCTTTTAGAGGAAACGTTTCGAAAAATTTTCTGCAGTTTGTGTCCAAGATGTTCTCGTTTTCATCAGCCACTGTTTCTAAATGTGTAGAAACAAAATACCAAACTCAAATAGTCTGTCTGTGTGAAAACAACCATCATCAATGTCGCCCTTCGCCATAATTTTTTTGCCTTAAAATGTGTTTGTTTTTGGGTTTTCTTGCACAAAAAATGTCTGGCAAAAGCAAATTCATCTTGTGTGTTGACAATGTACTTTCATATTTTTAATGCCCCTTTTATATATATTATTTGTTGCTACAAAATGTTTTTGTTTGAAATATAGATTTTTATTTTTCATGTCATGAAAAATAATCTATTCTATATCATGGTTCTGAAAATAAAAATATATAAATCAATGTAAGTAGAACGCGTTCTTATGAGTTTAAAAGCTCAACAGTTCTCATATATGACAGAATATTAAATAAATTATGGAAACTGTTGAGTTACAAAACGGGTACGAAATCTGTAAATGTGAGCCACACCTGTTTCTTAAACGTTTCGAAAAATTTGTGACACTAAGATCTTTATAAAAACACTAAATCACCACAATACACCAAAACACTTTTACTTTTACACTGGACGCGCGTTTCGCTAACCATGTTAGCATCATCAGCAGATGATTATGAACTCAGTCAGTTTATAATCATCTGCTGATGATGCTAACATGGTTAGCGAAACGCGCGTCCAGTGTAAAAGTAAAAGTCTTTTGGTGTATTGTGGTGATTTAGTGTTTTTATTTTGCTGTTTAACACCAAAGGTTCCAACCCTCAACTGTAAACTAAGATTTTTATTGTTATAGCTTATGTAGCAAAACCATATTTTGGTAAAATGTTTTGAAACAAAAAGCGATTTATGTTACGAAATATGTATCAAAAACGTGATAAAACTGTTTGGCAATGTTTCTCGGCAGATATTTTGTTTCGATTTTGTGTCTAAAAATGCTGCTTAGGTAGAGCCGAGCATTCCACCCATTAATTAGTTGGGTACATTCAAGCATGGGGTTGTCC